ATTGAAAATTTGATTCATTTTTTAAAGTATTTGCAGAGTTTTGCTTTGTGGACATCAGTAGATAAAATTGTATGCTTTTAAATAATGATGTGGCAGAGGGTGGAAGGACCTGGCTGGCTTAGTCAGTAGAGCATCCAATTCTTGATCTCAGGGTTGTGAATTCAACCCCCACATCGGGTCTATAGATTATAAAATATACATGTATATAAATATATATATATATTAGATAATGGTGTGGGATGGTACATTATCCCAAAGATTAGGTTACTGAATATGGGACTTTTTGTAATTGTAATTAATTAACAACCAATTAGGAATTTAAATTATATTTTAAATATAGTTAAGTGTGCTATTGCTCTTTAGAATTACTCTTGTATTATAAATCTCATTCTTTTGCTTTTGCATTCACATGTTTAGGGAACTTGTCCATTGGGATCCTTGGGTGGTTCGGCAGTTCAGTGCCTGCCTTCTGCCCAGGGTGTGATCCTGGAGTCCCGGGATCAAGTCCCACATAGGGCTTCCTGTATGGAGCCTGCTCCCTCTGCCTGTGTCTCTGCCTCTCTCTCTCTGTGTGTCTCTCACGAATAAATAATAAAATAAAACCTTTTTTTGAGAAAAAGGAACTAATCCATTTAATTTATATTTTATAATAGATATTTTTAAAAAGATTTTATTTATTCGTGAGAGACACAGAGAGAGAGGCACAGACATAGGCAGAGTTCTAGGCTCCTCACAGGGAGCCTGATGCGGGACTTGATTCTGTACCCTGGGATCACGCCCTGTGCTGAAGGCAGACATTCAATCTCTGAGCTACCCAGGTGTCCCTAATAGATAATATTTTATAGAAAATTGCTTTTGTAATCTATAAACTGTCCAGTGGAATATCATTTAAAAAGTTGCTGGAATTGGGATCCCTGGGTGGCACAGCGGTTTGGCGCCTGCCTTTGGCCCAGGGCGCGATCCTGGAGACCCGGGATCGAATCCCACGTCAGGCTCCCGGTGCATGGAGCCTGCTTCTCCCTTTGCCTGTGTCTCTGCCTCTCTCTCTCTCTCTCTGACTATCATAAATAAATAAAAATTAAAAAAAAATTTAAAAAAAGTTGCTGGAATCAAAAATTCTTTTAAATTAATAGGATTTTAGCTTTAAGGGAACAAAAAAAGTAATGTGGTTTGAGGGAAAAATCTGTAGTTCTTTTAAATAAAGTTAATTTTCATAATCAAAAGGAAATACAAAATTCTATTTTCTGTACAAATTTTACAGGCTATCTGTTGTTCTTTTAAAGATTTTATTTTTAAGTAATCGCTACACTCAATGTGGGGCTCAAATTTAGAACTCCATGATCGAGTTGCATGCTCAACCGAGCCAGTCAGCCAGCCCCAAATTATATAGGCTATGTTAATGAGGGTTTCTAGAGAATTCAGCCAAAACAAAACTTGAATAATATGCAGTATGTCTGTTGGATGTAAAGAGAGATCAGTGTCCTCAACTCTGGCTGCACATTGGAATCACTAGGGGGATCTTGTTTTAAAAAAAATAATAATGCCCCAGCATAACCTCAGACTAATCATTTCGGGATTTCTAAGAGGATGGGATAATCGCTGTACCAGAGGGAAGATTAGAATAGAGTCTCATAAAGGATGGAACCTGAAAGTCACCATGAATGAGGGTCTGGTCTGTAGCTCTGCCAAGTCCAGAACATTGGCTTTCTTTTCTAAGGGTTGACAGATGATAACCACCTTTTGGAGATTTGGAGAAAAACCAGAATACTAATTTTTTCCCCCAGAATGCTAATTCTTTAACTTACAGAGGGTGTTATATTTTTCAAGTGTGCAGCATACTCCTGATTAAGATATAGGACACTCCTCAAAATGTCAGAGGCACTTGGGAAACTGGATGAATGATTGCTAAGATTGTCTATTGAACAGAGTGTAGAACACTGAGATTTGGATGGCATTAAGAGATCTGTTCATTTGATCAAAAAAAAATCTGAGCAATTTAATCTTTGCTTTACAATACAGTGTATCTGTGCCTCTGATAGTATATTTTTATCATACAGAAATGATGTTTCTTATCAAGAAAATGTGCTGGAGAACTGGAAAAATTACTGTGCTTTGGGTGCTGTTTTTTTTTTTTTTTAATAAGATTTTATTTGAGAGAAGCATAAGCAGGGTGAAGGGCAGAGGGAGAGGGAGAAGCAAACTACCTGCTGAGCAGGGAGCTTGAAGTGGGGCTGAATCCTGGGACCCTGGGATCATGACCTGAGCTAACGGCAGACACTTAACCAACTGAGTCACCTAGGCACCCCACAGATGCCACTTTTATAGAATCTGTGCAGCTCACCAAACAGTTTTCATTTGGATAGGTTATAATCGAATTGAATTGATTTAATTCACTTATACTGTAAATAAAATCTTCTCTAGGAGTAGTTACCTAGACTGAGGTTTGCCTGGCTCCGCTTGTCTCTCTGTGTCTGTCCCTGCCAGTATCATGCGTGTGTGTGCGTGCACATGCCATTTCTTTTATTTCAGCATTGGAGTGAGGGAGAGAATTTTGCAGATGACTAAGATCATTCTTCTTGGGTTTCGTATTTTTAGTTTTTTCTTCAGAGAGTAATCTCTTAAATTCTGTCTATATCTTGCTGTGACTGCTTGTGTCCTAATTTTATTGACTATTGAAATTCTTTTTCTTTTTTTAAGATTTTATTTATTCATGAGAGAGAGAGAGAGGAGAGAGAGGCAGAGACACAGGCAGAGGGAGAAGCAGGCGTCATGCAGGGAGCCCAATGTGGGACTTGATCCTGGGACTGCAGGATCACGCCCTGGGCCGAAGGCAGGTGGTAAACCGCTGAGCCACACAGTCATCCCAAATTCTAGCTTATTGAAAGAAAAATAACTCTGCTTAGATTTGCCTAGCACTAGCACATACTACATATTTTTATTTCTGACATTTGAAATCCATAATTCAGTCCGTTACGGGGTATGAACTGAAACAGATTTGAGTAGCTCTACTTAAAGACAAATTTGATAGACTTTTTAGAGTAATATTTAATTGAGAGATAACTAAAAGAGATCTGGTTTGAAACAGGATCAAAGGAAGTTTTGGGTGGAGTGGGTCAAGATGGAATATATGGCTAGCTTACCAGATTCCATTGAATCTTTGTATACATACACTATTCTAGTATTAAATAGTGTAAAGGATGCTGACTTGTGTTTGAATTATATCTCTGCCATGTAGTAGCTGTGACTTTGGTCATATCAAAATAAACATTACCTAATGGTTTCAGTTTTGGGGTTGAATCTGTTAAAATCCATATATATTCCAGATCATATATCTATATTAAACTATAAAAATGCCCTCCCTAATATCCCCAGCCTCACAGTAACAAGTACTCCCTTCTAAAAAAGATATTTTATGGTTAAAGCAATTTTTTTCAGTTCTATTCATTGATAGGAACAGCAATTAGGTAATTTACTATTAGCTCTCAGATCACATTATAATCACTATAACTAGTTATTTTTAGCATAGTTCATCCTGTATAATCTCCCAACATACCTCCGCCTTGTTGATTAAATTCCTTGTATGTGCTAGACACTGGAAATACAGGAGTGATTAAAACCAGATGAAGGCCCTGTTCCACTGAGCTTACATTGTATTGTTCTGAAATATAGGCAGTAAGCCAACAATAAAGCAGGGCGGTGACTGACGAGTCTGAGCTTCTTAATTTTAAAGGTATAAGTGGCCACTTTAAAACTGTATATAAGCTGAAAAATATGCAAAAATGATATAGGACTTTGGTTGCTTAAAGTAATAAATGTGTTCATCTTAGTAGTAAAAGTAATAAATGTAAATGAAAAAAATCCAAACATCAAAAAAAAAATGAAAAGAGTCTTTCCTATTCCCTCCACGTTAATTCTTTGAGTCTAATTACTTTTAATTCTATTTTATAGATTGATTCAGAAAACACATATATGTATATCTTCTTATTTAAAAAGAGAAGAACCTTGGGATCCCTGGGTGGCACAGCGGTTTGGCGCCTGCCTTTGGCCCAGGGCGCGATCCTGGAGACCCGGGATCGAATCCCATGTCGGGCTCCCGGTGCATGGAGCCTGCTTCTCCCTTTGCCTGTGTCTCTGCCTCTCTCTCTCTCTCTCTCTCTCTCTCTGACTATCATAAATAAATAAAAATTAAAAAAAAAGAAGAACCAATAATGGTATCATATTCCTACTGTTCACTAACTACCTTTTTGCTTATAAAAAAAATTCAGATGTTTTCCCAATCAGCACACACAAAGCTAACCTTATTCTTTTTAAATATCTGCAAAATATCTCCTATATGGAAATACTTTCTTTTATCAGTTACCAGTTGATGGCCATTTACTTGAAATTAATTTACCTTGCTCTTTAAATTTGATGATTCTAAATTGGCCCATAGGTGTGAAAATGACAACCATTTCCTACTTTCCTTTTATGCCCTTTTAGAAACATGACCTTAGAGAATGGTTTTTAATGCACAATTTATGGGTTATTGTATAAAATTTTAAAAGAAGTTTATGTAAAACAGTCTTCAAAGTGAAGACACTTTTATTTACTTATTTAAGATTTTATTTATTTATTTCACAGAGAGAGAGAGAGAGAGAGCACAAGCAGGGGGAGCGGCAGAGGGAGAGGGAAAAGCATACTCCCCGCTGAACAGGGAGCCAGTGAGGTACCTGATCCCAGGACCCTGGGATCATGACCTGAGTAGACGGCAGATGCTTAACTGGCTGTGCCACCCAGGCACTTGATGAAGACACTTTTTAATAAAGTCTTTAATATACTTGAAATTTTCCTGAAAGAGTATACAGTTTATGTAATTAATGTAGATACTTTGGGAAATCTATAAATGAACTTGAAATCTCAAAATTATTGCTAAATAAATTGTAAATATTGTGTTATTTGGTAATAGTGTAGACCATAGTAGTAGTTTGTGATTTCATAAGGTTTGTTTCTTTTGATTACAGATTCTTGAAACTATGCCAATGACTGAGAAAGTTGAAGAGTTGCTACATGTCATAGGTCCATTTTATGAAATTGTAGAAGACAAAAAGTGTGGCAGAACTTCTGATTTAACCTCAGGTTGGAATGTTTTACCTTGTTTTTAAATCCAGCAACTGATGTATTATGCATGCATTAATATTTATATGTCTAATTTTTTTTTACTTTCACATGCCAGTCCGACTGGAGAAAATCTCTAAATACTTAGAAGGTAGGAATAATGAAATACATGTAAACGTTTTGTTTAAAATTTACATGCCAAAAGAATTTTACACAAATTTAACTTAAAAGCTGGTCACTCAAGAGTTTTCATTTCAAGCAAATACATTACATAAAGTTCAAAAATAATATAAACACTCAAATTTTAACCCTTCAATTATTAAAACCTGACAGGTGGCTCACCAAATATATACAAGATTATAACATTTTATGATTTTATTTTGATCATCATACTTCTGGTTTGCTTTCTGTATTACATTAATGGTGCCATAGCTGAAATGATTTTCTAGCTAATTTTAATGTAGATATGTTTATAATATAGCTTATATAGTGTAACGATCTAAAACAAGACACCAGTGAATTCACTTAGCTTGGTCTTTTTTTTTTTTTTAGAATTCTAATTTTGTGTTCTCAGGAAAGAATTGAAAGGCTTATCTTTCACGTATTAGCAGGAATTGAATAATAGGCAAATTTGCTGGCATTAAGTATAAACATTACTCTTTAAAAATTTTTTTTTGAAAGCAGAGTGAAATGAGCCTGTAAGAATTATTTCAAATAAAAAATATGTTTTATTTTCCTGGAATCCCTATTTACAAGGTATCTTTTACTAACTGACAGAAATCAGGGGTTTCAGAACAGTTACCTTCCTGTGTGTCATAAGATCTGCAGTTTGTGTCTGCAGTAGTAACTGCTATAATGCTCACTGAGGATAACACTCTTATAATCACATCCTCTATATCTGATTTGCCTAAAGAAACACATTTTAACAAATAATCTTCTTTATAAGTCATGCTATTCAATGCAGAAAAAATATTATTTCCTCTGTATGAAGCATGTTGTTAGGATTTAGAGGGAAGTAAATCTGGACCTGTTTTTAGTAGTATGTAAGCCGGTTAAAGGCAAATGTTTAAACAGCTAATTATAAAGACAAGGAATAATGATAGTAAAGGCTCAGATCCATAATCCCTAAGTTATAATTTAAAATTCAAAAACCTTGATAAACCAGCTATTTTTTGGTGACTCATTTGAAAGTAAAGCCTATCCTGGGATCCCTGGGTGGCGCAGCGGTTTGGTGCCTGCCTTTGGCCCAGGGCGCGATCCTGGAGACCCGGGATTGAATCCCACATCGGGCTCCCAGTGCATGGAGCCTGCTTCTCCCTCTGCCTATGTCTCTACCTCTCTCTCTCTCTCCCTGTGTGTGACTATCATAAATAAATAAAAATTAAAAAAAAAAAAAAAAGCCTATCCTGACATGAACTAATTGAGCAGCCCACCCTGACCTGATTTGACACTAGGCTGTTTTATTTTTATTTTTTAAAGATTTTATTCATTTATTCATGAGAGACACAGAGAGAGAGAGGCAGGCAGAGACACAGGCAGAGGTAGAAGCAGGCTCCATGCAGGGAGCCTGATGTGGGACTTGATCCTATTCCAGGATCATGCCCTGGGCTAAAGGCAGGCGCTAAACTGCTGAGCCACCCAAGGATCCCTACACTAGGCTGTTTTAAATATTTATTCTATTTAGTGTGACTACCCATATGTTTTGCTGTAAAAATTTTCTTTATTATTAGTTTTTTTAGTGGGAGCTGCCTAGACTCTATTGAAGATGTTACATAATATATAGTACATACAGTGTATGACCTTTGCAAATTTAGAAAACTGGATTTTAAATCATATCTGCAAGGGTTGCAGATGCAAGGGTTATAAGGAATATGGACCTGTACCATAATTTATTTAACCTGTATAATTCTAATGGACATTTAGATTGCTTCCTCCTCTCTTTTTTATATTAAGCTTTTATTTTAATTCCAGTGTAGTTAACATACAGTGTTACATTTGTTTCCTCTTCTGGTCTTCAAAAGCTGCTGAAAGTAACCCTGTACAAATGTCATTTAATAAAAGAGAAAATGTATCTGTAAGAAATAATATTAGAAATGTAATAACCAGGGTTAAAGTATTTGAGTGTTTCATAGTTTGCAATCTTGACTTTTTTTTTTTTTTTTTAGCAAAGAATGGTATTGAAAGGAGCCACTTAGGCCCAGTAAAACAGATGTATCTGTGTCACATGGGCTTTTTCATAGTTCAGATGCATAGTAAGTTTTGAAATCAGGAAGTATGAACTATTCAGCTTTGTTCTTTTTCAAGATTATTTTGACCATCCTGGATCTTTTGCATTTCCATATGAATTTTTGAATCAGCCGGTCAATTTTTGCATAAAGGTGTCACCTAGGATTCTGGTAGGGATTGCACCAAATTGTAGGTCATTTTGAGGAGTATTTTGTCATCACAACAGTATTGTCTTCCAATCCATTTATTTAGTTCTTTAATTTCTTTGAAAAATGTTTTGTCATCTGCCGTATAAAATTCTTATACCTTCTTTTGTCCAGTGTACTGCTGAGCATTTTATTCTTTTTGCTGCTATTATAGATTATTTTCTAATTTCATTTTGTATTGTTCATTGTTAGCCTGTAGAAATACAATTAATTTTTGCTTATTGATCTTGTATCCTGCAGTCTCATTGAACCTTTTGTTCTTTTTTTTTTTTTTAAAGATTTTATTTATTTATTTGTGAAAGAGAGCAAGAGTGGGTGAGAGGGGTAGAGGGAGAGGGAGAAACAGACTTCCCATTGAGTAGAGAGCCTGATGTGGGACTCTATCTGGAGACCCTAGGATTATGACCTGAGCCAAAGGTAAACTCTTGACCTACTGAGCCACCCAGGTGCCCTCTTTTTGTTAATTCTAATAGTTTTTTTTGTAGATTCATTAGGATTTCTTGTATGTAAGAGCATGTCATTTGCAAACAGAGACCATTTTTTTTTTCCTTTTCAGTCTGGATGCCTTTTATTTACTTTTCTTGTCTAATTGCCCTGGCAAGAACTTCCAGTACAATATTAAATAGAGATGGCAAAAGCAGACCTCTTTGTCTTGTTTGTTATTTTAGTAGCAAAAAACACTCCGTCATTTAACATTGATTATGATGCTAGTTGTGAATTTTTGTAGATGTCCTTTATTAGATTGAGGAAATTCTCTTGTATTTTTAATTTCTTCAGCATTATTATGAAAGTATTTGATTTTTGTCAATACTTTGTGTCTGTTGTGATAATCATGTGGCTTTTGTCCTTTATTCTGTTAGGATGATGTATTACATTAACTGATTTTTGGATGTTGAGTTGGGCTTGCTAGTAATTCTCTGTGCTTTCTATACCTCTTATCACAGAACTGCTGTGGTGCTGCTTTTGCTGCTATCAAGTAGTTTTACTGCAAACATCTATTTGGTGGGGGCTTAGGGAATTCTCTATTGCTTAGTTTTGTTGAAGATGTCCGTGAGTGGTGGATGTTTTTGTTTCTTGGTGGTGGTGGTGGTTGTTTTGGTTAGTTGTTTTTCTTTTTGTTTTTAGTTTCTTGTTTTTGTTAATCTTGCTTTTTCTGGTTAGCAGGGAGAGAACAAGGAGATTCCTAAACTGTGATGCTTCAGGTTCTCTAAAAGAGTAGAATACAATGGTAGTGGTAGAGTTGAGTTTTTATTCTTTTGTTCCTGTTTAAGATGTATGGAGATTGTGAAATTTAGTATGTTACTTGGGATGCGGGGAAGCATCCAAAATGCATTTGAGTAGGTGAAAATGAGCCCAAAGGTTTATGAAGGGAGACCACTGTTTTTGGCTAGTAGCCATGTAGGAGGCCTTATTATCTTAAAGAGTGGTGGAAATTCCCTGTATCTCAAAATGAGGTTCAGTATCCAACAGCATTGGCATCACAGAGGAGCTTTATGGAAATGCAGAATCTTAGATCATCCCAAACTTACTGATTTTTAACTGGATTGCAGGTGATTCCTATGCATGTTAATGTTTGAGAAGTTCTGGTGTATTTATTCACAAGATATGACTGGCTAGTAGGACAATTTATGTGCCTTTTTAAGTGATTGATCTCACTAACTGATGCTTTAGAAGAAAATAATTTAAATATAAAGCATTAAAGGTAATAAAAGGATGAAAAAATTTTAAATGTAGTTCAGTTATAATATTGATGAGAGTGTTGTATTTATGTTTTCAGTATGCTAGCATGTAACAACTGTCTCTTCATTTATGGTGTATAAAGATCATTCATCTCTAACTTTATTATTTGATATTAATTTAAAATGACATTCTCTGCCTTGCTTAATAGGGATTTATCATTTTTGTTATAAACTGATACTTGAAGTTTATTTATGTAATATATGTGTACTTATAGTCAAAGAAAAGAATACTAGTTATATATCAAAATTCTAAGCTTTACTTCAAAATAATTTTATTAGTTATTTATAAATGGCAGTATTATTTGTAAATGATAGCATTATTGTATGTACAGCACTAGAGATTAAGTGATCATTTCATATTTTAGATCTTGGTAATGTTCTAACTTCTACTCCAAATGCCAAAACTGTTAATGGTAAAGCTGAAAGCAGTGATAGTGGAGCTGAATCTGAGGAAGAAGAGGCCCAAGAAGAAGTGAAAGGAGCCGAACAAAGTGATAATGGTAATCTTTGGATGATGAACTAATAATTTTACGTTAAATTAGATAAAATATGGAGAGGTCTGGGCTGATTTGGTTTTGTATGAGAATAGTGTGTATGGTAGGATCCAGGCTCTTGACTTTACAAATAAGTTTTTTGTGGACCGAAGATACAGGGACAATCAACCTTATGTATAGATAGAATAGATGAGATTGAACCCTAACAAGAATAGACCATTCTCTAAATCTGTTGCCTGAAATGTTGCATTAGGAATGTATTCATTTTGGGATGCCTGGGTGGCTCAGCGGTTGAGCGTCTGCCTTTGGCTCAAGGCGTGGTCCCGGGATGGGGTCCTGCATAGGGCTTCTTGCGGAGAGCCTGCATCTCCCTATGCCTGTGTCTCTGCTTCTCTCTGTGTGTCTCTCATGAATACAAAAAATCTTAAAAAAAAAAAAAAGTATTTATTTTATGGAGTACCTGGCTGGCTTAGTCGGTAGAACATCTGACTATTGATCTCAGAGTCATGAGTTCAAGCCCCATGTTCAGCATGGAGTTTAGTTAAACAAACAAAAACAAGTGTATTCATTTTAGATGTTCCAAATATGAATATCCATATGTTACCAAGGAGAGGAGACAGGTTAAACTCTCAATACCTTGTCAAGAATAGAATGGAATCCAGAGAATTGGATACAGGAAGAAGTTTTGATGAAGAAGGAACACTGGAGTCATGGGGTACTACACTAGGAGGGCCTTGTTAGTAAGAGTAACAGTGATTCTTAGGAAGACTACTTTAGAAGGGGGAGGCAGAGACACTAAAACAAATGGCACAACTTCGTTTTGCTTTTCTTTTCTTTTTTTTTTAATTTTTTTTTTTTTATTTATTTATGATAGTCACAGAGAGAGGGAGAGAGAGGTAGAGACACAGGCAGAGGGAGAAGCAGGCTCCATGCACCGGGAGCCCGACGTGGGACTCGATCCCGGGTCTCCAGGATCGCGCCCTGGGCCAAAGGCAGGCGCCAAACCGCTGCGCCACCCAGGGATCCCTTGCTTTTATTTTCTAGTAAGATATGATGAATAATATCTTCTTTGAAGGATATTATTGATTATGTGGACCCCTTTGTACAACTGGGTCTCATAGGGTGACTTGCCTGTGCTTGAGAGTGTTATCTTGACCTTGAGAAGTTATCTTTTTTTTATTTTTTAAAGATTTATTTATTCATGAGAGACACAGAATGAGAGAGAGAGGCAGAGACTTAGGCAGAGGGAGAAGCAGGCTCCTTGCAGGGAGCCTCATGCGGGACCTGATCCCGGATCCCAGGATCATGACCTGAGCCGAAGGCAGGCGCCTAACTGCTGAACCATGCAGGCATCCCAAGAAATTATCTTTTAAAAGGGGCTCTAGGGGACGCCTGGGTGGCTCAGTGGTTGAACATCTGCCTTCAGCTCAGGGCATGATCCCACAGTCCCCGGATCTAGTCCCACATCGGGCTCCCTGCATGGAGCCTGCTTCTCCCTCTGCCTGTGTCTCTGCCTGCTTCTCTCTCTCTGTCTCTCATGAATAAATAAATAAAATCTTTAAATAAAAAATAATCACAAAAAATAAAATAAAAAGGGCTCTAGGAAAGCCTGGCTGGCTTGGTGGGTGGATCGTGTGACTCTTGATCTTGTGGTTGTGAGTTCGAGCCCATGTTGGGTGTTGAGTCTATTTAACAATAAAGTAAAGTAAAAATAAAATAGCTTCTAAAAGATTCACAGGGAACTGAAGCAGTTTTGAGTGGGCTGTCAGCATGTAATAACCCCCCCCCCTTTTTAAAAGATTTTATTTATTTATTCATGAGAGACACACAGAGAGAGGCAAAGACACAGGCAGAGGGAGAAGCAGGCTCCGTGCAGGAGCCCGATGTGGGACTTGATTCCAGGATCACGCCCTAAGCCAAAGGCAGACGCTCAACCACTGAGCCACCCAGGCATCCCAATAAACCCCTTTTTAAAGAGTATTTCATCTCTCTGATCCATGTAGGAAACTGATCAAAGGGATTATGGTAGGTTGGAGAAATGATTACTTGATTTTAGAAAGTATATGCAGAAGTTGACCTACTGTGAACTTTTATGAATCTCCCTACTTTCTTATAAAAGATAAGAAAATGATGAAGAAATCTGCAGACCATAAGAATTTGGAAATCATTGTCACTAATACCTGTGATAAAGACCACTCTGCTCAGGAAATACAGAATGACATTCATGCCAGTTCTTCCTTGAATGGTAGAAGTGCTGAAGAAATAAAGGTTGTAGATGAAAACTTGGAGAAAACTGGAAAAACTGCTATCTGCATTCACCAAGGTACAGTCCTATAATAATGATCTGTCCAGCCTCTTCCCTACCAATGGAATAGTCTCTTCATTATTTGAGGATGTTTAGGAGCAATTTAGAATTAAAAACCTCTTATCTAGGGGGCACCTGGGTGGTCCAGTCAGTTGGATGTCCAACTCTTGATCTCGGCTCAGGTCTTGATATTGGGGTTGTGAGTTTGAGCCCCATGTTGGGCTCTGTACTGGGCATGGATCCTACTAAAAAAGAGGGAAGGAAGGGAGCAAGGGAGGGAGGGAGAAAAGAGTCCCATAAAAATCTTTCATTCAGTAATATCTTAGGGTTTATTAATATTATAAAGATGTATGGCTTTGAATGATAGTGAATTAGGGGCAGGGCTTCTATATTTTTATTGAGACATTTTTTATTGTGTTTTTATATGACATTTTAAAGATTTTATTTATTTCTTCATGAGAGAGAGAGAGAGGCAGAGACACAGGCAGAGAGAGAACCAGGCTCCATGTAGGGAGCCTGATGTTGAACTCGGTCCCGGGACTCCAGGATCATGCCTTGGGCCAAAGGCAGGCGCCAAACCACTGAGCCACCCAGGGATCCCCTGTATGACATTTTAAAATAAAATTTGAGAGAGAGGCAGAGGGAGAAGCGACTCCCCATTGAGCAGGGAGCCCAACATGGGGCTTGATCCCAGGACTCTGAGATCATGACCTGATCGAAGGCAGATGCTTAACCATTTGAGCTATCCAGGTGCCCTTTGATGTTTCTTTTCTTTTTTTTTTCTTTTTTCATTTTTTTAAAAATTTTTATTTATTTATGATAGTCACACAGAGAGAGAGAGAGAGAGGCAGAGACACAGGCAGAGGGAGAAGCAGGCTCCATGCACTGGGAGCCCGACGTGGGATTCGATCCCGGGTCTCCAGGATTGCGCCCTGGGCCAAAGGCAGGCGCTGAACCGCTGCGCCACCCAGGGATCCCTATTTTTTCATTTTTCAAAGATTTTATTTATTTATTCATGAGAGACACACACAGAGAGAGAGAGAGGAACAGACACAGGCAGAGGGAGAAGCAGGCTCCATGCAGGGAGCCTGACGTGGGACTCGATCCCTGGTCTCCAGGATCACACCCTGGGCTGAAGGCGGCACTAAACCGCTGAGCCACTTAGGCTGCCCCTAATGTTTCTTTTAACCCAGCCTCTGATTATACAATGCCTTTGCTCTTTATTCATAAGTTACAGTCTTTTCGTATCTTAGGACTCTAGGGGTGAGCCTGTCATATATATTTGATGAATTATGAACATTGCTGCAATTCAGTCAAGAAACCAGGAAATGAACTTATTTAATGTAACAACTGAACTTACATAGTTGCTATCAATTTAGGCCTCCTAGCTGGTAGTCAGTTTTCTCTTATAAGGTTATTAGTTTTGTAAGGTTTGATATAGACAATGTCTTTGTGCAATTATATGATAAAGTACTTTATAATCTTTTCAAATAAAAATTATCAACTGAATTTAAAGTTTTGGTAAGTTAAAAGAAAAAGTATGGCTTGATAAATCAAATTTGTCTCTAGTATGAAAATAATATTGAGCTGTTAAATTTTGACAATGGAGTAAGTGCATTTTTCTTCAATTAGAGAATAATAATTATTTGTTCTTTTTTAGATATAAATGATGATCATGTTGAAGATGTTTCAGGAATTCAGCATTTGACAAGTGATTCAGATAGTGAAGTTTACTGTGATTCCATGGAGCAATTTGGACAAGAAGAGGTAAAAATGACATTTTTTTAATTGGGAAATCTTTAAAGCGATAGAATTCAGTGCATAACTTATTTTAATTATTTTTTATTTACTTTTAAATTTTATTTTTATTAACAGATTTTATTTTTAGGGACACCTGGGTGGCTCAGCAGTTGGGCGCCTGCCTTTGGCCCAGGGTGTGATCTTGGAGTCCCGAGATCGAGTTCCACATCAGGCTCCCTGCATGGAGCCTGGTTCTCTCTCTGCCTGTGTCTCTGCCTCTCTCTGTGTGTGTTTCTCATGAATAAATAAGTAAAATCTTTAAAAATAAATAAATAAAAATAAAAGATTTTCTTTTTAGACAGAGAGCAGACATAAGGTGGGGGAGGGGCAGAGGGAGAAGGAGGTAGAGAATCTCAAGCAGGCTCTGTACCCAGTGCAAGCCTAATGTGGGGCTCAATCTCATGACCCTGAGATCATGACCTGAACCTAAGTCACGAGTTGGACACTTAACTGACTAAGCCATCCAGGTGCCCCACATAACTTTTAATACCAGTGCCTATCACTTTGAAAATCTACATATAAAATATTTAAATTTTGTATTTAAAATTATTTTTGTAAATTTAAAAACATATTCCTGAATATCCAAAAATATTTAAATATTATAATTTATAATATATTTATATTTGTAAATATTCTGAGAGTGAGGTGGGATGGAGGAGGCAGAGAGTAAACTCAAACTAGTTGCTATGTTTGAAACATTGACAGTCAAGAAAATTGAATAATTGACAAATCTGTTCTTCACAATAGCTTTAAGTATAATTAACAAAATATTATATTAGTTTTAGGTGTACAATGTGTTGATTCAATGATTCTGTACATTACTTGGTGCTCACCATGATAAGTGTAGTCATCATACGATTCTATTACAATATTATTGACTATATTTCTTATGCTATACTTTCCACCTCTGAGACTTAACTTACTTTATAATTGGAAGTTTATACTTGTTAATCTTTATCTATTTCACCCATTGTCACCTATCCACTTCCCCTTTAGCAACCACCAGTTTGTTTTCTATATTTGAGAATTATTTGGGGATTCCTGGGTGGCTCAGCGGTTGAGCATCTGCCTTTGGCTCAGGGTGTGATCCTGATCCGGGGATCAAGTCCTGCGTCAGGCTACCTGTGAGGAGCCTGGTTCTCTCTCTGCCTGTGTCTCTGCTTCTCTCTCTGTGTCTCTCATGAATAAATAAATAAAATCTTAAAAAAAAAAAAAGGAATTGTTTGGGTTTTGTTTATTTGTTTTTTAGATTCTACACATAAGTGAAATCATAAAGTATTTGTCTTTTTCTGTCTGACTTATTCCACTTAGCCTAATAGCCTCTAGGTCCATCTATGTAGTTAAGAATGGCCAGATTTCATTCTTTTTTATGACTCAGTGATGTTCCATTGTATGTATGTATGTTTGCATGTGTGCATACACACATATATTGTCTTTATCCATTCACCTATTGATGGACACTTGGGCTGCTTCTATATCTTGGCTATTGTAGATAATGCTGCAATAAACATCTAGGTGTATATATCTTTTCAAGTTAGTGTGTTCATTTTCTTTGGGTTAATACCCAATAGTGGAATTACTGGAACGTTTGGTATTTCTATTTTTAATTATTTGAAGAACCTCCATACTGTTTTCCATAGTGGCCACACCAATTTACATTCCTACCGATGGTACACTAGGATTCTCCTTCTCCGTATCCTCACCAACGCATGTTACTTCTTCTCTTTTGGATGCTAGCCATTCTGATTGGTGTGAAGTGTAGTGCTTTTTGAATACACTAATGTTTTTATCTTGTATTTACATTATCTTGGTTTCTGTCCTTACTGTAGGGTTTATGGTATGAAAGCATTGCATCTCATTGGTTTAACTAAATCTCTGACCTGTTAGAAGACCTTATGCTTATGCCCTGGGAAGGGCCTCATCTCACTTAACAAATTTATGTTTAAAAGAAAGTTTTTTATTTGAATCCAATTTAAATAAGTTATGTCGCTTATAAATGCCTTTATAAAAGGCTGAAATTTTGAAATATTAGTAATTATTGCTTTGTAGAAGCTAAAAATAGAAAATGATTCTAGCATAACCATTTATCAGAATAGTGATTGGTTTGGAAGTGCTGTTCTAAAAGAGATTTAGATAGGAAATATTTATTTTATATATACATGTACATATACTTCTGATATTATTGCAAACCAGTGACCAATACAGACCAGTGTACTTGGAATTTTATTAGGTGGATTTAGATTTCTTTTTTTTAATTTTTATTTTATTTTTTTAAAAATTTTATTTATTTATGATAGTCACACACAGAAAGAGAGAGAGAAAGAGAGAGGCAGAGACACAGGCAGAGGGAGAAGCAGGCTCCATGCACCGGGAGCCCGACCGATTTGATCCCGGGTCTCCAGGATCGCGCCCTGGGCCAAAGGCAGGCGCCAAACCGCTGCGCCACCCAGGGATCCCCTGGATTTAGATTTCTAAAATTTCTTTTTAATGATAACAAATGTTATTTTAGTATATTTCAAATAAAATATGAACAACTCAGAAGTATTTGCCATATACACCATTCCTATATATATCCCTTTAAAAAATTTTTTTTATTGGTGTTCAATTTGCCAACATATAGAATAACACTCAGTGCTCATCTCATCAAGTGCCCTTGTCAGTACCCATCACCCAGTCACCCTCACCCCCCCACCTCCCCTTCCACCACCCCTAGTTCGTTTCCCAGAGTTAGGAGTCTCTCATCTTCTGTCTCCCTTTCTGATATTTCCCACTCATTTTTTCTCCTTTCCCCTATATATATTCCTTTGGCATAATGACTTGATTTCAACTTTTCTTTCCTCTTTTGACCCCTTAAATTTGGTATTCTTCACAAATATATCTCTAGTTATTACTCTGTTGGTTTCAACCTTCACTCACATGCTGATGATTTTAAAAGTGTCATCTCCAACCTATATCTCTGAATTCTAACTGCTCTATTAAACATCTTGCCTAAGAACCTCAATTTATACTTATCTATAACTATACCATTGTCTCTTTCTGTTCCCCTGAAACCTGTTTGTCTTCTGTATTTCTTATCTTGGTGAGTATCTCAAAATCATCGGGTCTTTTCCTTTCCCTTACTTCCTACATTCAGTATTCAACTCCTAATGATTCTGTAATCTCAAAAGTTCTTGAATCACTCTCTGTCCCACTACTACTCTCTTGGTACAGGCTGACATTATTAGTATACCTTCAACTTGGCTTATAATCATTTAAGTCTTACTAGTTCATATCATTTCTTCCAGGAAGCCTCCACCCAGCCCCAGAATGAGTTAGGTACCCTTCCTGTGAATTCCTATAGCAAGCACCCTTTGTCTATGTTTTTCATGACATTTATCAAACTACACTGTAATGATCTTACATCTCTCACTTCCTTACCAAATCTAGAAGCCTCTTGCAGACAGAGCTTTTATCTCTTTTCTCATGTTATCCTTAGAGTTTAGCATAGTAACTAGAATAAGAGTAGATATTTTTTAAAAGTCTCTTGGATGAATGACTGACTCATGAGAACAGTTTACTGCCAAAACTACTCAATTCTTTGCTCATGGATGAGCAAACTCATTTTTCTACATATAGGGAGCAGAAAATGAATAACTTTTTAGAAATATAATATTTCTGGAGCACCTGCGTGGCTCAGTAGGTTGAGTGTCTCCCTTTGGCTCAGATCATGGTCTCAGAGTCCCAGGCTCAAGCCCCATGCACCTGCTTCCCCCTCTCCTTGTGCCCCCCCCCACTCATGTTCTCGCCTGCTTTGCTCTCTCTCGCTCTCTCTCAAATAAATAACCTTAAAAAAAGAAAATATTTCCTATCATAACATGAAAAACGTTTTATAAAAAACAATTCTATTATCATAAAAAATTATGTTTATAGCTTTTAACTTATTTTAAATTTGTAGTCTTTAGACAGCTTTACATTAAACAACGGACCATTTCGATATTACTTGGGTGGTGATCCCAATGAGCCCTTGGAAAACTCTGGTTTTCCTGAAGATGGATCTCCTGGAAATGACAACACTGGGGATATGCAGGTGGTAGCAGTTGAAGGAAAAGGTGAAGTAAAGCATGGAGGAGAAGATGGCCAAAGCAACAGTGGAGCACCACACCGTGAGCGACGGGGTGGAGAAAATGAGTTCTCTAATGTCAGAAGAGGGAGAGGTGTGTATTTTTTCTTGTTCTCACTAACTATCCTTATAAAGTAACTAGTAAAACAAGAAAGTTTCAGATAGGAGCAATATTAGAACTATCCATCTGCAAACGGAATGTTAAAAATTATCCTTACATACATCTGACCATTTTTCTTTACACCTGGTTCTTACCTATGATTCTACAAGGCATAGTAGTTTGATATGGGTTGGGGTGAGGGGAGCATTTCTATTTCTGCATCTTTTTTTTTTTTTTTAAGATTTGTTTATTTATTTGAGAGAGAGCACAGTGGCAGAGAGAGGGAGAAGCAGGCTTCCCACTGAACAGGGAGCCCAATGCAGGGACTCAATCCCAGGACCTGGGGATCATGACCTGAGCCAAAGGACTGAGCCACCCAGGCGCCCCTCTATTTCTACATCTCTTACATGGTTTTTTGAGGTAGCCAAATTTATGTTCTGTCACCCCTCCTCCCTGCAATCAGTTACTCGTTCCTCCAACTGCATTTCTGCTTTTTTTGCTACCATAGGTAAAAATTTGAATTCTGTCTTTTCCACATTTCCCTCCTTAAAGATATCATTTAAAGCTGACAAATCAAGTAATAAACGTAAAATATCATTTAACAATCCAAAGGGAAACATTAAGAATAGTAATGTGATCAGGTAACAGGTTAGAGTTGAATAGTGAAGAATGTAAGTATATATTAATTTATAATTGTTCGTAGTTAGGAATGGATAGGTAATGTCAAAAAAGAATAATGGAAAGACAAATTCCTTATGATCTCATATGTAGAATCTAAAAAAAAAAAAAAAGACTAAGTTATAGAGAATAGGTAGATAGATTAATGATTGCCACAGGCCGGGGGGAGAGGCGGGGGTGGGGGGAGGATGTGAAACAGGTCAAGGGTCAAAAGGTAAAATCTTTCAGTTATAAGTAAGTCACTCATGGGGATATAATGTACAGCATGGTGACTGTAGTTAATCTACTGTACTGCATATGTGAAAGTTGCTAAGATAGTAAATCTTAAAAGTTATCATCACAAGGAAAAAGAGTCTGTAACTGTATGGTAACATGTTAACTGTACTTACGGTGATTATTTTGCAATATATACAAGTATTGAATCATGTATGCTTAAAAAAAGGAAAATCCATATATAATTTTATGAGATCGTAAAAAGTTAAAGGAATATCTGTGTATCTGGTTGAAAAATCTACATAAAATGAAGACGGGGGGAAAAAGAGAAGTAATGGTATTAAGAAACTAATTGTCTAACCAATAGGCATTTGAACATATACCAATTGTAAATATTCTAACAAAGAAGAGAAAGATCACAACATATTACTAGAACCTCGGATTTAGGTTCCTGTCTTTAGGCAATTTACCTAAATTGAATGTATGAAAGGCTTCCCATTTATAACCTGAGTTCACCCCTCCTATAAAACACCACAACTCCCAGCGATCACAGGAGTCCATACAAGGGGCAGACCCTAAAGTTAAGCTTCTTGAGCTTCATAGTAAATCTGCCTCAGCATTAAATAGATATTATTGAGCTGTTCTTTGTCAGGCTGTGTTCTAGGTCCTGGGGAAGCTGTAGAGAAGGAGACAGCCCCTTCCACAGACAGAGCTTATGTTCTAGTAAGGGGAGCTGACAGTGAATACATAAATAATTCAGATTGGTTGCAAATGGTGATAAATGCTCTGAAGAAAAGAAAATGAGTAATTGGACAGAGTGACTGGAGGTGCTGATTACCATAGCATGGAAATAGTCTGATTAATCCTGTCTTTGTGAAGGCTGGTTTGAAAGCTCACTATGACATAGGACATAGTAAAGTGAGCAAAGACAGGAGTGATTCTTCAGTACCTACTAACAGGCCCTCATAGAATTTCTCAATCTCTTAAGGATACAGGAAAATAAGCCTTTAGACCAGACTTCCACTTTTTTTCCCCTTGTAAATTCCACACCAGTCGCTGAAGTGGTCCTTTCTTTCTTAAAGAACCACTTCAAAACTTACTTCCTTTCAATACAAGAGTAGAAGTCTTCTTGAAACTGGCATCAAGCCCTCAGTGTTCTCTTTGGGGTTTAACTTGGCAAACAGCTTTAGTTCCATTTTTCTTACAAGACCAAACACAGCTTGATACAAGCTCACCTTTGGAAATCCTGCTGCTGCTTTGGGGCTCCAGGATGCCAAAGGGCAATGAGGTAAACAGGTTCTTGGTTATTATTTAAAACAAACAAAACTTACCCAACTGTAACTGTATTAGCAAACAGACAAAAACTTGTAATATTTCATTTCTGCACAGTAGTGCTTTTTATATACTGCAATATAAAACTGTTGCAGCCTTTCTGAAAAATAACCTGGCAGCACTTAATGAAGATCCTCTGCAAAGAGGTGCCTGGGTGGCTTGGTTGGTTGGGCATCTGCCTTCAGCTCAGATCATGATCTCAGGTTCCTGGGATGGAGCCCCACATCATCCAGCTCTCTGCTCAGTGGGGAGTCTGCTTCTCCCTCTCCCTCCACTCCTCCTCTCTGCTTGTGCTCTCTCTCAAAAAAAAAAAAAAAAAAGAACCTCTACAAAGTTGTCATCCTTTTACCCAGTAATTCTTTTTTGATTCTGTTTTTCCTAAAGAAATCAGCAGAAATTTGGGCAATAATTTATATACAAAGACATTCATCACAGTGTTATTTGTAATCACAAAAATTTGGAATCGTCATAACTATCCAAAAATGGAGAATGAGTAGATTTCTTCATGGTCTTACTGGGGAATTTATGTAGACATTGCAGTGGTTTTGAAACAAAATTTAATGATGCAGATACATATTGATGAAATTTTTTTAAAAGAAGGACACAAAATCATGTGTTAGGGATAATGCCAATTCCTTAAGTATAAGCATAGGAAAAATGATGGATATATAACATAATTTTAATAGTGATAAGTATAATAGAATTTATAATAAAAAATACATTAAACAATCTTTTGGGAGATTTACAGTATTATTAAATTAAAAATGACCAAAAAGGAAAATGTACCTATTTAGTGTAGCTTTTAATACTCTAAAGAAGCAGGAGGAAACTGAGTGGGGAAGAATTAGAGAGGAAGACAAACCATGAGAGACTCCTAACTCTGGGAAGCAAAGGGTTGCCGAGGGGGAGGTAGCTGGGTGACTGGCACTAAGGAGGATGGCACATGAGATGAGCATTGGGAGTTATACTATATGTTGGAAAATTGAATTTAAATAAAATATTTGTCAAAATACTCTAAAGAAGCAGTCCTCAGATTTTTGTTTCAATCTTGTTACTTTATTAGTAAAGAATTTTTGTGAATGCAGCTCAAATATGTAATTCTGTATGAATTATATGCATTTAGTCATTTACTAGTGCAGTAAATACATTATAAAACCTTAGCAGGAAAAACTTTGAGTAATTCAGTATAAATAGAAGCTTACATATCTGCTTCTTTGCTCCCAGTATTTTGTGTACTTTCTGATTGCTTCCACTCCACTTTGGAGATTTAGATCTCAAAGAAATAACAGGGAAAAATGAGTAAAACGCACTTTTCTACTTTTATAAGAATTATTTAAAACTAACTTATTTTGCTTTCTTAAAATAGGGCATAGGATGCAACATTTGAGCGAAGGATCTAAGGGTCGGCAAGTAGGGAGCGGAGGGGACGGGGAGCGCTGGGGCTCGGACAGAGGCTCATGGGGAAGCCTCAATGAGCAGATTGCTCTCGTCCTCATGCGCCTACAGGAGGACATGCAGAACGTCCTGCAGAGACTCCATAAACTGGAAACACTAACAGCTTCGCAGGTGAGCGTTCAAATTTGTCTTCTTCCACTGCTGCTGATCCTGCATAACAGCATGTAAGTGTAGTCTGTGTTGATCTGACTTACACAAATCAGTGTAATGATTTTTTTTTTTAATTTATTTATTCATGAGACTACACAGAGAGGAGAGAGAGAGAGAGTCAGAGAGTCAGAGAGTCAGAGACACAGGAAGGGGGAGAAGCAGGCTCCATGCAGGGAGCCCGACGTGGGACTTGATCCCAGGGCTTGATCCTGGGCTGAAGGCGGCGCCAAACCACCGAGCCACCTGGGCTGCCCCAATGATTTTTTTTTTTTTTTTTTTAAATAGGACCTAGGAGCAGGACTCCTGGGTGGCTCAGTGGTTGAGGGTTTGCTTTTGTCTCAGGTCATGATCCTGGGGTCCTGGGATGGAGTCCCACATCAGGCTCCCTGCAGGGAGCCTGCTTCTCCCTCTGCCTCTGTCTCTCTCTGCCTCTCTCTCTCTTTCTCTGTGTTTCTCATGAGTAAATGGATGGAATCTTTAATAATAATAATAATAATAATAATAATATGCACCTAACTTAAATAATTTTCCATCTCCATATTTTCTTTGCAACGGTTATAGTTGTATAGGATTTTTCCTTTCAAAAATATTTTTTAAAAAATTCAGTAATCCTTATTTTAATCTAGCAATAGAATGGTAAGTAGGATTTCTAAATATGAAAAAGCTACGTAAAAGCCACTGGTACTGACACAGATTCATTGCCAGCCTAAATGTTAGATTCCTGAACTTTCTCTTAGGCCCAGTTCTTCACTTCTTCCTTATAAAATCCAGTTTTATCAAGAACCCTGCTAAGTTAACCAGACAGGCTCCTCATCCTCCACCAGCTGCCAGATGATGTCTGATCACCCCGGCCCGCCTTCCACAAGAATCCTGTTAGGTCGGTTTAGCCAGAATCTTCCTAACCCCATGTTTCCATTTAGGCATTTTCCATCTGCTCATCCTTGCCATATGCCTTGACACTACATTCCCCCTCACCCATGCTGTGCTGGGTGTGCAGGGAATGAGCCCTAATCCCTGCATCGTGATAGCCCCTACCCCCTTGAAGAAAGTCTTCCTTTTTGTGCTTTCACAAGTGTCATTGATTCTTTTTTTCAACAACATGGATAAATATCATTACAGCAAAAAATCATAACGCTAATTATAACAGCTAGTGCCAGTACTTCTTAGATGAAAGCAGGGGTCCTTGGGAATCTTCATTTGCTTTCCAGACTTTATTACTTAGGAAAAAAAATCTGCTAATAGTTAACATTTAATAGTTCTGACTCCACTTTAGTATTTGTTGGTAGTTGCTGCTTTAATGAGGAAGAACACCTGTGTCATCATCACATTGGGATTTGGTCACCTTGAATTCCATCTAGAAATCACACTGACAAATGTGACCTTGATTAAGTCATCAGATACCAGGGAGCCCAATTTTTAAATCTATCCTTTATTCTGAAAAAATGCCATAAAGTAAATCTCCTAGTTAAATATCACACCGTAGGGCATTTGAATGGTTCAGTTGGTTGAACGTCTGCCTCCTGGTTTGGCTCAGGTTATGATCTCAGGGTCTTGAGATCAAGCCCTGCATTGGGCTCTGTGCTCAGCGGGCAGTCTGCTCAAGATTCTCTCTCTCAAATAAATAAATCTTTGAAAAAAATATATATTATTATGCCTACAAGGTACAATTACAACTAATATAAAGATCATTGGTTTGTCTAGATTCTTTCAGCACTTGTAATTTGATTATGCCCTTTTGTACACCTTGATGAGGTGAGGACTAATGCAACATCTGGAGGCAACTAATTTAGTTTTACCTGTAAGGTATAGTCCTACTGAAGTCCTTGATACTATATTACCCATAACAAGGAAATTTAAAGCCTTCCTCCTCCCTACCACTTCCTGCTGTAATTTCAGCATACAGGCCTCTGTGCTGAGCCTTGAACTTGCTTGAAGGCTCCCTCCCACCTTGGATCCTTGCACTTGCTAATCCCTCTGTAGGGAAGATTGTGCCGTGCACACACACCCCTGCTCCCACCCTCCCTCCCCATTGCTACCCCCCACCCTCCCTTCTGCCTCCCTTAGCTACATAGCATACTGTCAGCAAAGCCTTCCATCACCATTGTATTTAAACTTGCAAGACTCTCCTCCTCCAACATGTCTCTTACTTTCCCTGTTTTCTTTTTCTTGTTTTTCCCTCCTTCCTGTTTTATTTTTCTTTATGGTGTTTATCGCTACCTCATACATTGCATATTTTACTGATTTATTCACTATTATTTGTATCTGTCCATTATAGTATAAGCTCCATTAGGGCAGCACTTTTTGTCATTTTGCTCTCTGTTGCATCTCTAATGCCCAGGGTTAACTGGTACATAATAGACGCTGAGTATTTACTAAGTGAATGAATGAATGAATGAACGAACGATCTCATTTTCATACTTTCTCTGAAGATATAATAAATGGAGAAACTGAAGTAATAAGTTTCCAACAATTAGTATAAGGAAACTTGTTTTCTGGATGAGCCAAATTGGAATATGTTTTCTCAATTAATTTGAAATTTTTCTGCTTAGTTTATACATCTCATTAAAAATCCTACAATACTCCTCCCCTCAAAAATGATAACTATGTGAAGTGAGGAATGTGTTAATTAACTTGATTATGGTAATCATTTCACAATGTATATATGCATCAAATCATCACATATATATATGTATACGATTTTATTTATCAAGTATACCTTGATAAAGCTGGAAAAAATTTAAAAGCAAATCTATAGTACCAACAGTTCATTTCTATCATACCTCTTGTGCTATAACTTATGAATTTTTAGGGATGCCTGGGTGGCTCAGTGGTTGAGCATCTGCCTTCAGCTCAGAGCGTGATCCTGAGTTCCTGGAATCAAGTCCCACATCGGGCTCCCTGCATGGAGCCTACTTCTGCCTCTGCCTCTCTCTCTCTCTGTCTCTCATGAATAAATAAAATCTTAAAAAAAAAAAAAAAAAACTGGGGGATCCCTGGGTGGCTCAACAGTTTGGTGCCTGCCTTCAGCCTAGGGCGTGATCCTGGGGTCCCAGGATCAAGTCCCATGTCAGGAGCCTGTTTCTCCCTCTGCCCATGTCTCTGCTCTCTCTCTCTCTGTGTCTCTCATGAATAAGTAAGTGAAATCTTTAAAAAAAAAAACAACCCAAAAACTTAAGAATTTTCAAAGCAGATCTTTCGATATGATTTATAATTTGAAAATAATCAAGGCTGCAGTTCTCAGATGTGTTTTTAAATTTGTAATTTGTATGGAAACAAAGAATTACTAAGTTAATTAGATAATTTAGTAACAGTATACAAGAAGTAATGGTTCAGATTAATTTCAGGTTTTATTTGATGATTTTATATAATTTGAACTATAAAACATAAAATGTCAAAGGTATTTATTTGGCTAGGAATTTAGGGACCTTGTTATTTGGCCAGTATAGGTTTCAGTATAATCAAAGTATGATTAGCAGAAAAACATAATAAACTAATGTTTTAGACTTTTAAAAAAATTTAAATATTTTTATATTTATTCATGAGAGACACAGAGAGAGGCAGAGACAGAGGCAGAAGGAGAAGCAGGCCCCATGCAGGGAGCCTGATGTGGGACTTGATCCCAGAACTCCAGGATCACGACCTGAACTGAAGGCAGACACTCAACCATTTAGCTACCCAGGCTTCCCTAGACTTTTTTTCTTTTTTTTTAAGATAGGATATAGAAAAAATTGCTATTTTTTTTTCTCATTTTGTCAAAGCTAAATTACTTTCATTTGTATTTATAGGCAAAATCATCGACATTACAGACCAGTAATCAGCCTCCCTCGCAGGTAAGAAATTCTTTTCTTAAATTTAAGTCTAAAATAAGGGTTTCAAATCTAAAAATAAGGGCTTCAAATAACTTAAAATAAATTTAGATTATATGAGGTTCTTGAAATATTCCAAATGAAATCTACCCTTTAGGGCTTTGAAATTAAAATAGATTTTTTTATGTTTTTAAGTCTAAAGTACTCCTGAAAGTCTGTGTACTGAATTACATTCTGAGATACAGAATATCTCCCTTCTTTTTAGCAGGGCTGTGATTTGTTATTAAGTTTTATATTTTCAAAATTATGAATTAGGTACATTTTATATATACAGCGTGTAATAGACTGGTGACCAGCTTATTTTATTTTCTCAGAGACCATCTTGGTGGCCCTTCGAGATGTCTCCTGGTGCATTAACTTTTGCTATCATATGGCCTTTTATTGCCCAGTGGTTGGTGCATTTATATTATCAAAGAAGGAGAAGGTAATTTAGTTTTATAATTGAAAATAGTATGCAAAGCCTTATAATCTACAGTAGACAGAGCTTTCAACAGCAATCGAAACGATAGCTCCATTTTGTAGCTATATTGTCATACTGAACATTCTGTACCAATCCTGGGACTGAAACTCTCTTCGAAATCATATCTAGTGGATTCCTAGGTACCTGTTAGACTTAAAAAAAAATCAAAGTCTGATGTTTATTTTGGGCCTTTTGCTAACATTAAAGGATTGTAGACAATAGGTAGGGAAACAATACCTGCATGCTCTCTATACCTTTGAAAGAGACATTGACATTTCAGAAGATTTTTATTTTTATCTCTAGAAATAGAGATTTTTCTAATGTGAGGGCCAAACTTCCAGTTTGGGATGCCAGGAGATACCTCAAATTGGTCTGAGAATAATAAATTGGGATCCTTGAAAGGGCTCTGAGATTGTCTAGGTTAGGAATAACCAAAGGCTCAGTCTCTTGGGTTCAAGAAAATCCTTCAAGCATATATATATATTTTAGACAGTATGTAAATTGAATTACTTCCCATGGATGGGCATATTGATCATTATTTACCCCGTCACAGTCTCACTTACTATGTTTTTGGTGTTTCATCACCATTTCATATTAAGTAACAACAGATAGGGAGAAGAAATAGAATAATTGATAATAACATTTTAAGTGCTCTCTTAAATACATGCAATAGAAACACATTTTTAAAGACCTACAAGTTTAAATAATTATGGATATGTTGTTCTTCTATCAAAGAACCCAGGTCCCTAAATTAACAACACTTGCTACCAAAAGGAGAAATGAGACATTTGCCCTTCTCTTCTCTGAAAGGGATAAGCAGCACATGAGTTAGTATAAGTGCTCCAGAGATAATATTTGATCGCAGAGAAACTGAAATCCATCGGGATTTGGGTGAATCCTTTCAGTCTTCCTGCTTTCTGCTTATGTTAAGACAGTTCAGGTCACCTAGGTGGCTCAGTCAGCTTAGCATCCGCTTTCAGCTCAGGTCCTGATCCCAGGGTCCTCGGATCGAGCCTCGTGTCAGGCTCCCTGCTCTACAGGGAGCCTGCTTCTCCCTTTCCCTCTGCCTGCTGTTCTGCCTACTTGTGTTCTCTCTCTCTGTCTCTCAAATAAATAAAATCTAGGGGAAAAAAAGTTCAACTTATGTTCATAAGAGAACTAAAAAATTTTGTGGTACATTCATGTTCTTGGACTACACTGACCCACTTGAAAAAACTTTAATTCAGAAGCATGAACTGCTCTCACAGTGTTATTTACCTCCTTTCTAGGTCATTTGTATAGATGTCATTTCAGCTCTGTGTAAAGTTGGTGTAAGGGTTCAATAAACCTTAGCTTATGTCCTTCCTTTTCTTCTTTTCACAAATTTTACATTTATCCCATGATGGTTGGGTTTAGTGCGACACAGTGTTTTAAATTTTAATTTCCCTGATAATAGGAGGGAAAAAGAACTGAACCTTTTTTCACTATGTAGTAAGTGCTAGATTCAAGCAGCAAGGCACTAAAGGTAGGTGTTGACATATTTTGCAACGTATTTCAAAGTTCTTTTCATGTTTCCTTTGTTGATCATTGAGCATTAGAGAGTAGAAAAATTTGGCACAGGACAAAAACTGTTAAGCTTACTTGGGTTAATAATTTATGTTATGCTTAAGTTTGCAGCAGCTTGTCACTTTAATAAAGACTGAGAAAACAATGACTCTGCTTCATCAGTCACCAAAAATTGGAGTTTTTCTAAAATTATTTTTTTTAAAGATATTCCTTGCTGGTACACATCTGCACCATTTCTCCTAAGTTGCATACAGATGTCTCTGAATGGAGAAATTCTCCTATTTTTAATATTCTACTTTGTTATTGTTGAATCTTTATCAAATTTTCAGTAGGTTAAATGTTTAGTCCTTTCAAACTACCAATTTTTTTTTAAACGTAGTCTTTTTTTTTTTTTTAAGATTTTATTTATTTATTCGTGAGAGACACAGAGAGAGAGATGCAGAGACACAGGCAGAAAAGAAGCAGGCTCCTTACCGGGAGCCTGATGTGGGACTCGATCCCCAAACTAGGATCATGTCTTGAGCCAAAGGCAGACCCTCAACCACTGAGCCACCCAGGCATCCCAAACTACCAATTGTTTAGCACTGTGCAACTGCATTTTGATGAGATAGTGGTTTATTTTTAAAGATTTATTTGTTTAGGGAGAGAGCATGCAGTGGAGAGGGGCAGAAGGAGAGAGAATCTCAAGCAAACTCCCTGCTGAGAGGGGAGCCTGACGTGGGGCTCAATCCCAGGACCCTGAGATCATGACCTGAGTCAAAAGCAAGTGGCAGACGCTCAACTGACTAAACCACTCAGGCACTGCCAATGAGAGTCTTTTCTTTTGTATTGTTTGTTCATATACATAACAAATTAACAGGGATTGGAGACAGAGCCATATTTGATATGGAAAGAAGTTTCAGGCTTGAAGGGACTTAGACATCTTTTCATCTGGAAGTGTGTAGCAATTTTTAATTTGACAGTTATAGGAATGAAAACTAGAGAGCAGTGTGTATGGTTTGAAGGAGATGGGTTCTGTGTTAGAGATGAGGAGAAAGATCCAGAAATCCAGTTAGAGTGGGGAAAAGTGTGAAAAGGAGTGTGTGTGCTCTATTCATAATAGGGACCATCCTGTGCCTCGACCCCTAATTCAGTGTTTGGCATGTAGTAGGCTTTCAGAAAGTGTGTGCTGAGTGATGGCTGAATACCCACTATTTGTAGGAGGTCACACTGAAGTACTATATGATACAGAAAGCTTTTGGTTTATTTATTTATTTAATTTTTTTTCATTTTACTTAATAAATAGGCATCTGGGTACAAACACAGTGAGATAGTTCTATATATATGTAAAATAAGTAGCTATCTATTTGTGGTAAGCTTTTTGAAATAATATTTTGTTTTCTTCAACATTAAAAGCAAGGTGAAGGGTCCACTGTTTGATTCCCTCTCTCTCCTCCCAGTGTAGAAGAATATAAACTCAAAAGTAAATTTCAGGAGTTATCACTCTGCAGTGGATCAGAGAAAAAATCCCAAAAGACATTTTTTTCTGAATGTGGTATGAAGAGCACATTCCTTTTTAAAGATTTCATTTTTCACTCACGAGAGACACGCAGAGGCAGAGACATAAGCAGAGGGAGAAGCAGGTTCCCTGCAGGGAGCCTGATGTGGAACTCGATCCCAGGACCCCGGGATCATCATGACCTGAGCCAAAGGCAGATACTCACCACTGAGCCACCCAGGTGCCTCTCTGTAGGAACACTTTTCAGATGGAGCCTGCCTCAAAAAGTCAGGCCCAGGCTTCTGAGGAGGGGAAAGAATCTCATCAGTATAGCCAGGGCAGATAGTTTAGCAGGCAAAGTGAAAGGCGTAATGTTTCCCTCTACCTTTAATCTTTTGTTTTCTGTAACTTTTCTTCTCTTATCACACCATAGCCTACATTTTGCAAGTTAATTTAAAAAGAAAAAGACGAAAAGATCTCATGAGGAACCTTGAAAAACATTCTAAAATTCTGAAAATACGGATGGGAATTTGTATGTGAATACATACAGGAGAAGATAGAGGGTTCAGAGTGTTATGTGCTATTTTGTAAATATGCAAAGAATTTTGTGTAGTAATCTACATCACATAGGTTCTTAATAAGTGTTGCTAACTGTTCATGCACCATCCAGTGAACATTTCTGCTAACCCCTCACTTAGGCTGTTAGTGAGGGCAATTCTATGGTGCCTGTGTGACTCAGTTGGTTAAGTGTCTGCCTTCAGCTGGGGTCATGATCCCAGGGTCCTGGAATCGAGGCTGAGCAGGGAGCCTGCTTCTCTCCCTCTCCTTCTGCCCTTCCCCTCTGCTTGTGCTAGAGCACTTCTCTCTCTCTCTCTCAAATAAATAAATCTTAAAAAAAATACCACTCATAATTCTGTTCTGGCTCCAGGAGCCTTTTTTCCTTCATGCCCTTAGGGCTCTCCTTATGTGAAAATTGATCTAGTTAAAATGTCACTCCTGCCAAGGAAGTGTACAAAGGAGAATTTCTACAGAGGATAGAAGATTATCGTATTATTTAAAATATCCCTCCTGCCAAGGGGATTGTGTAAGAGCATTTCTGTAGAGGTGAGGAAATGAATCTGTAATGAGAACGTTTCAGGCATTTTGGCATCTAGAGTGCTGGGGAGGATATAGAGATTTTTACAGGTGTGGGACCTCTCCCAGATGTCAGATCATACGTGATTGTTGTGTCTTGTGCTGACAAACCCACCCTTCTCTGATCACTCGTTCACTCTGCTATCACTAAAACTGTCATACCTATCTGAATTGTTAGTTTATATGTTCTCCCTCCTACCCCCACACTAACCTGAGAGCTCTTTTAAGAGTCGAGAGCCTGCCTCATTTATGTTTGAATCCCCAGTGCTTGGCACAGAGCCTGGAAAGTCATAGACACAAAATATATGTTGATTAAATGAATAGTCTAGGTTATACATCTATCAACCTATTATAGTCTCATTAAGCATTTTTTGTTTCACAGCTTTGCCAAGTTGTAAAATAATTCCCAAAACCCTGAATCGCCTTAAGCCAACTAGAAAAGGATGAGAATTTCTTAGGAACTACTGGCAATTTTATGATTTGATTCTGAATGTGAATATGAATTGTTATGTTATCGTCCAAAGAATTCTCTGATATGGATGTGTTTCATATTCAGGTTGCATTTATATTCACAGAAAATTGGTTTTTACTTTCTTTTTAAAGAAAACTGAACTGAAGAAAATGGTGTTTTACCCAAGAAGACTACTGGGCCTGAATGACCTCAGAATGAAATGGAATGTGGAACTCACAAGAGAATCTTAGTTTGTGATGATTACACTTCTTTTTGTCGTCCAATAGTTTGGTTTGTGTACATATATACATATATATATTTTGCACTACAAAAATGATAACATTTAATATTGCTGATACTTGAATAATTAATCTCAGCTAGGTTACAAGTAGCATACATAGATTTGCCCTACCTTGAACTTGAAGAGCATTAAATTATTAATTATTGTTTGCTAACATATTTACCTGATTATCTCCCATAGAGAACAATAAGCTGCTTTTCCAAGGTACAGTTGTGATAATGAGATATTTTATTTTTAATTTTCTAAATTAACTATAAGAAAGAATGCAAACCAGGAGTGAAGTTCAAATGAGATTAAATGAACTTTTCAATTTAGTCAATGAATTGCCATGCCAAGCAGTAGAAAACTGCTGGAAGAATTTTCTCCACATCCTTACTGTGGGCTGCCCATAATCTTTCCTGGGCATTCACAGCACTGACTTTACTGTTCAGGCGTCGTTATTACAAAGTAGAGCCCTATGTACCAGGCTTACTTTTTACAAATGAACACAGACTAGACATAACCTGCTGACAGGAATGATGAAGAATCGGCTTCTAGGAAGTTTAGAAGTATACTCTGAGCCTGTAGATCATTGATAAGATTTTATTCAATCGTATACATTTAGTCCTTTGTAATCGCTTTTCTTTGAGGATATCTTGTTTCTGCTTCATAGGGTGCTTTGAAATATAAAATGAAAACTTATTTATACTGTTTTTACAAAAGGTCAAAAAGGAAACACATGAAAATCACTTTTCTGCAACTGGTAAACTACACAGACTGGACTCTTAACCTTTTAGTGCCTCTGTTTTTCCCTTGGGGTATAATATTTGAGATACACCTATTTCACAGGGGTAATGGAAGGATTTGCAAGCAAGCAGGGCTTATGCTTCCATGTGAAGAAGGCACACCCAACTAACCTGAATGTAAATGCTTCCCCCGCCCCCCACATTTAGATGAAAAAGAAGACTGTAACATATAGAGATCCTTGAAGGCTTTGCTTGGAATTATTCTTCCTGTATACCTTCCAAAATTCCACATTTAGATGTACCTTGTACTTTAAAGATTTCTCTCATTCGAAGGCATAGTAGCAAATAATTTTTAAGCATTCTCGATATGTGTGATGTTGGGTTAAGCATCCTGTGTTCAGAGTGTTTTAAGAAAATAATCCATCCCTTGCATAGAGCGTGGTTCTTTGCTTGAAGAAAACAGTATAAGAATACAATTTGCTTTCCCCAAATTCTTTGTTCCTTTTTTTTCTTGTAATTTGATGGTTTTATTTTTAAATCACATCCTGATTAAAATGTCTCTCTAAAGGGGTTACTAATATTCACCTTTTAAAAACTCTATTTAGGGGAAAAATGAAGCAAGTAACTGAATTATATGGAAAAATAAGGTTCACACCTATGGATCAGGGATTATTTTTTAAAAATTAGATATTAATTTGGTATCAGACAATGTTGGTGGCATTTCTTGATAGTAAATAAAGTAACTAAAAGCAAATTTAAGAACATAAGCAGTTGTGATTCATTATAGGCAGTGGGAGGTAACTAACTCCTAGGGATAACCATTTGTATCCTATTCCAAAGTCTTATTTTATAGTTTGAAAAGTACTTTGCACACAGTTCTTGTATATATAAGTAAAGATGTAATTATAGGACATGGTGTTACTGCTTTGTTAAAAAGAACCTCATTTAAAATTTTAAATTGACACCTGGTATTTTTTTAATGATCTACTTCTTTTTTGTTTCTTTATTGTAAAACTACGTTAAAAATAAAAAGGCTAATGAGAAATGCTATGGTTTTTATTACTTGTTACTGGTAGAAGTACATTGAATAAAGGATTAAACGAGTGTAAATTGTGGGAATTCATAGAAAGTAATCATGCCTCTTTCAGAATAAAACCATGGTATTACATAGAATTTCATAAAAGTTCAAAACTGGGATAAAGTAGAAGTCCTTTAGTCATTTGGTTGAGAATGTCCAGTCAAAATCTTAGTTTCCATTCTTACACCACATAGATAGCTTCCCCCAGCCATGACATCTTAAATACACAATTGGTCTTAGGTGGAATATGCTCAGAGGATTTGTGTTTTTTTTTTTTTTTTTTTAGGGGAGGTGTTTTGTTTTTTTCTAAAGACTATTCATTTGAGAGAGAGAGCACAAGGGAGGGGTGGAGTTGGGAGGAGGAAGAAGCAGGCTCTGCACTGAGCAGGGAGCCCTGCTGGGCTCAATCCCAGGATCCTGGGACCATAACCAGAGCTGAAGGCAGGTATCTAACTGACTGAGCCACCCATACACCCATTTTTCTTTCTTTTTTTTTTATTAAAGATTTTATTCATTTATTTGAGAGTGTGAGAGACAACCAACAGGAGGAGGGGGTTGGGCAGAAAGAGAGGGGAGCAGATTCCCTGCTGAGACCCCAGGACCCTAGGATCATGACCTGAGCCAAAGGCAGATGCTTAACCAACTGAGCCATCCTGGCGCCCCAGGATTTGTGTTTTTCATACAAATATATAACTTGTAACTTTTACAGATACTGATAAAAGTGATGTTAGCTATTTGTATCACTTAAATACCAGTGTTTGGGTGTCTGGGTGGCTCACTGGCTGTGTCTGCCTTTGGCTCGGGTCATGATCCTGGGGTCCTGGGATCGAGTCCTGCATCAGGCTCCCTGCTTCAGCTCCTCCCTCTGCCTATGTCTCTGCCTCTCGCTCTCTCTGTGTCTCTCATGAATAAATAAAATCTTTAAAAAAAAAAATAACATACCAGTGTTGTGCTGCCTGTCATAAAAACATCAGTGACTTGAGCAAGTAAGTTTGGTTTTTTTTTTTCTCAAATACAAGAAGTACACAGGGCGCCTGGATGGTTCAGTTGGTTAAAAATCTGGCTTCCACTCAGGTCATGATCTCAGGGTCCTGGGATCCAGTCCCACATCCGGCTCCCTGCTCAGCGGGTCTACTTCTCTTTCTCCATCTGCCCCTCCCCCTGCTTGCGCTTATTATCTCTCTCTCTGTCAAATAAATAAATAATCTTGAAAATAAAAAAAGAAATCGCTCAGAGGTAGGAAGCCTAGGGCTGGGTGCTTCCACAACATGGTTAGGAAGAGGCTCCTTTCTGTTCTGCTGTCTTTGATGTGTAGCTTTTGTTGTTCTGCTTGCCAGATGGCTGCTCCACATCTAGGTCTAATGTTTATTTTACAAACAGATAAAGATCTTTATCTGATCAGGAAACAGTAACTTTCTTGGAACTCTCACACAGGACACTCCCTCTCCCTATTATTGGCTAGAGCTAGTTTACCATAGTTAGGTCTTTTGTCTATAGAAACATTATTTAAAGGCCTAAAATTATTCCAGTTTATACATATATACAATTTTACAAATTTATTTTTGCCCATATATCAGGAAAGAACATGTGTTTGGGTTTAAATGCCGCCTTCTTTAGGTCTCTTCTTTCTCTACTTGTTTTTCCTTTTTGCTTCTCAACCCTTGTTTGCTGATTTTCTCTCCAATCCTCTTTTGAAATAGTACATTTTATAAACTGGAAAAGGATAAATGTCCTTTCCTTTTAAAAAACAAAAGAGAACTTTTAAATATGTATGTAACACAGAGTGTTGCCACTGTTCTGTTATCCTGCCTAGCATCCTTCCCTCCTCCTCCTCCGATAAAGATACCGCCCTCCTCTGTCCCTCTCCCTTTGGAGAGCTCTTCATCCTCCATTCTCAGTAGGTGATGGGGATGGGGGAGGTGGGGGGTTCCTGCACAATAGAACACCCAGCTATGGCAGCCCTACCCCTCCTCAAGCCACCGTGGTGGGCCTGTGACTCAAACCTGGTCAGTGTATATCCTTTCTACTGACCACAGTGACAGTCTCAAGGATGGGCAGATGACCATAAGTAGGCTATGCCAGCCCTACCCCTCTGTGGAGAATGGGGGTGGGGTTGAGAATTCCAAGCTTCTAGTTATGGCTTTGTCTTTCTGGCAACCAACGTTCCCATCCAAGAGTCATCTCATCAGAACAAACGATACTCCTGTCACCCAGGAAATTCCAAGGGATTTAGCAAAAACGGGTGAAAGACCAGATGTGGGGAAAAAAAAGATGCTCTCACTGTTCTTATCACTTAGGAAATTACAAGGATTTTAGGAGCTCTATACCAGGAACCAGGGACAGAAGTCAATATGTATATTTTCTATTATCTCACACCAGTCTTATTTCTTCCTCTTTGGATGCTTATAGTATCTTCCTTTTGCCCCAGTGTCTGAAATTTCACTATTGTAAATTCCTATACATAGGAGACACTTGCTACAATGATGCCATGTAACAAATGACCTCAAAGTTCAATGTTCTCATTTTCCTTACTCATAGGTCTCTGGGTAGGTTGTGCCCATGCTGGACTCAGTTCAGTTTGTCAGAACAACGCTTTGATTTGAGTTCATTTCTGTTCCATGTGCCTCTTCCTATTTGGACCATGAGCACACACCATGTCTACTAATCTTCCATTGGCCAAAGCAAGTCTCATGACCACACCCAAATTGGGAGGAAATTTATTCCAACCACTCTAGGGAAAACACTACAATCTTTCATGAGAAAGGATGTGGAGTGGATTAGAAACAATAATACAATATACGTCAGTACTGTTTTTTATGCTGACCATTTGGCTCTTCCAATCTGTAAATTTATGTCCTTCAGGCTGAACATTGTTGTTTTCATTAATCATTTCTTTTCCATTTCTCTGTTCATTTTCTCTGGAGCTCCTATTATTTGGATAGTAAACTACCTAAACTAAACACATCCTTGAAATTCATCTTTTCTCTCCTATTTTTCAACTTTGTCTTTTTACTCTTTGGGAGAGATTTCTTCAACTTTGAACCTTTCTATTTAGTTTTCATTTCTACTATCATTTTAAAATTATTTATTAGAGAGAGAGAGAGAGAGACAGAGCAGGAGCAGGGGGAGTGGCAGAGGGAGAGGAAGAAGCAGATTTCCTGCTGAGCTAGGTCCTAGGACCCTGGGATCATGACTTGAGCTGAAGGCAGACACTAAACCGACTGAAGCACCTGGGCGCCCTGTAGTACCATATTTTTAAAAATGTTTTAAAACTTTTCTGAGTATTCTTTATACTATAGGCAATATCCTTTATTTTTTTTAATTTTTATTTTTTTATGATAGTCACAGAGAGAGAGAGAGAGAGAGAGGCAGAGACATAGACAGAGGGTGAAGCAGGCTCCATGCACCAGGAGCCCGACGTGGGATTCGATCCCGGGTCTCCAGGATCGCGCCCTGGGCCAAAGGCAGGTGCTAAATCGCTGCACCACCCAGGGATCCCGAGGCAATATCCTTTAAAATGTCTCTGGGGATACTACTGATAATACCTTTGAAGTTTTTTCTGTGTGTATAGACTCTGCTTCCGTCATTACTTTTTCTTCAAATTGTTTTGGTCAATATATTTAAAAAGACTTTCCTCAGGTATCTGTAATCTTTAGTTGTTTGCTCATATTTCTGAGTAAGAGACTACAAAGCTGATTGGAGGCTCTCAGTGGGGCTTAGAAACAGTAGGTTTCACTGAAGAGCTTTCTGTATAAGCCATTTAAAGTTGGGGACGTCCATGTCACTTTTTTTTTTTTTTTAGAGTAAGCTTTACACCCAAAGTGGGCCTTGAACTCATGACCCTGAGATCAAGAGTCACAGGCTCCACCGACTGAGCCAGCCATTTGCCCCTCCAAATCCCCTTGGCAAATGAAAGATCTACAGCACAGCCAGTACCCCTGCTTTCATGTGTGCTTGGTACCCTGCCTGTTTACCTATCCTGAGGAAAAACCTACAATATCTGCCAAGAGGAAGGGAGAGCATATTCAGAAGGATGTGTGCAGTTGGAGAGGGGGATCTAGAATTTTTTTTTTTTAAAGATTTTATCTATTTATACATGGGAGACACAGAGAGAGGCAGAGACATAGGCAGAAGGAAAAGCAGGCTCCCTGTGAGGAGCCTGATGCAGGACTCGATCCCAGGACCCCAGGATCACAACCTAAGCCAAAAATAGATGCTCAACCAGTGAGCCATCCAGGTGCTCTAATACGAAATTCCAGGAATTATTTTAACCACTTTTTTTTTCACCCTTTGAAATGTTCCTGGTACCGACTCCTAACTGAACCTGTTTGAGGGCTTTTGTAGTGCAAACTGGATTTACTTTTGGTGATCTCCAAGACTCAAAGAGGATTTCGTTTCCTGTTTTTCTTTTTATTTATTTAAAGATTTTATTTATTTATTTATTTATTTATTTATTTATTTATTTATTTATTTATTTATTTATCACACACACACACACACACACACACACAGAAAGGCAGAGACACAGGCAGAGAGAGAAGCAGGCTCCATGCAGGGAGCCTGACGAGGGACTTGATCCCGGGTGTCCAGGATCACACCCTGGGCTGAAGGCAGCTCTAAACTGCTGACTCACCCGGGCTGCCCTGTAACAGATTTCTGTACACTGATTTTGTACCTAGTGACTTTACTGAGTTCTTGTATCAGTTCTAGCAGGTTTTCCTGGAGTCTTTCAGAGTTTCCATGTAATCTGAAAATAGTGAGTTTTTTTTTTAAGATTTTATTTATTTATTTGAGAGAGAGAGTACACAAGCAGGCGGAGTGGCAGAGGGAGAGGGAGAAGCAGGGAGCCTGACATAGGGGCTTGATCCCAGGACCCTGGGATCATGACCTGAGCAGAAGGCGGTGCCCCACAGATAGTGAGATTTATTTCTTTCTTTTGATTTGTTGTCTGATTGCTGTGGCTAGGACTTCCAGTACTATGTTCGTAACAGTGGACATTCTGTCTTGTTCCTGACCGTAGAGGAAAAGCTCTCAGTTTTTCCCATTGAGGATGCTATTAGCTGTGGGTTTTTCTTATATGGAGTTTATTATGCTGAGGTATGTGCCCTCTAAACCTACTTTGTTGAGGGTTTTTATCATGATGCATCAGGTTGTATTTTGACAAATACTTTTTCTACATCTATTGAAACGATCATATGGTTCTTATCCTTTCTTTTATTAATATATATTAATATCATGTTGACTTGATTTATGAATACTGAATCTATTCCATCACCATCTTCCTTTCTCTTGGACTACTCACCCATTTATTTGCCTCTAGGTAACATTAATATAGTGAAATTGAATCTTATATATTTAATAAGAAGGATGTTGACAGATGATATACTTGAAGTGTTATATTAAGCAAAAATAAATTATTTATTTTTAAGGGTCAGGTTTTCTTATAATGTTGCACATGTTCTAACAAATTCTTTGAAGATGTAAACCATCACGTTTTTTATTAAAATTGAATAAGGTGGGTAGCCCGGGTGGCTCAGCAGTTTCATGCCGCCTTCAGTCCAGGGCGTGATCCTGGAAACCTGGGATCGAGTCCCATGTCGGGCTCCCTGCATGGAGCTTGTTTCTTCCTCTGTCTGTGTCTCTGCCTCTCTCTCTGTGTCTCTCATAAGTAAATAAATCTTAAAAAAAAAAAATTGAATAAGCTGTTAAAATTGCTACAGCATATCACACCAAAGTCCTCCAGTATAATTTTAAGCAAATATGTGTTGTAGAGAAAGCACCAGAAGCAGCCAAGGCAGCAAGAATGTATTCGTAGCAAAGTAAGCTAAAGCTTCTATCCTTTTTATTCCTCATGCCTTAGAGAAGTTACACTACCAACTGATGGAATTTCCCAGCTGCAGTTTTGAGGCCACAAGAGCAACCTTAAATGATTGCTCTCTCCGGACCTGAGCTTTTGGAAGCAATCACGTCTAAATAAAATTATAATAAAGCCCAGGTGGGCAGCCCAGGTGGCTCGGTGGTTTAGCGCCGCCTTCGGCCCAGGGTATGATCCTGGAGACCCGGGTTCGAGTCCCATGTCGGGCTCCCTGCATGGAGCCTGCTTCTCCCTCTGCCTGTGTCTCTGCCTCTCTCTCTCTCTTTCTCATGAATAAATAAAATCTTAAAAAAAAAAAAAAAGCTGTATGATTTTGTTATTTTACACCAAACTGAACAGTGGGCTGAAATCAACATGTGAAAGAAAGGCTGGAAGCTAACTTTTCTAACGGAGTAGTGTCATTTTATTTTTATTGATGCATTACTTTTCATAAAGTGCAGTAACAAAATAAATAAAGTGAAAAAGGTTCTAAAGATCTATATACAACTCTGAGATTAAGATAAGTACTGATTGTTATCTTGATAGACTTTTAACTGTGTGGAAGCTGTAATATACACTGAAAACTCATTGATCCAAGTAATGTAATGATTCTTTTTCCCCCTTCGATCAGTCGACTCTGAAGGTGTATATAATTATGCTAGCATATTCTGTAAGACAAGATTAGATTAAAGGGAAAACTGATGATGTGCTATAGACTAAATCCAGATACGGTCAGATGCTGAGCATTATTCCTGGCTTCAAAATAGGATGTATCTGTTTCGTCATCTGGTTGAGGTATGAAAGGCATAGTTTGATGCTGCAGATTTTCCCAGTCCACGTCACTGAAGAGAGGATGACATTTCAGCTCTTAGGAAAAACATAAAATAGAGTATTATGACACCATTACCTAGTAAGTACTGTTTTATAGTAATAAGGGAAGGTCTCCACATATATCTTGCCCTTGTTTTGCTTCACATATGTGTTTTGTTTTTTTTTTAAGTTTTTATTTTGAGACAGAGTGTGAACGAGAGACAGAGACAGACACAGAGAGAGACACAGAGGAGAGAGAGAGAGAGATTGCACCAACAGGGTGGAGGGGCAGAGGGAGAGGGAGAAGCAGACTCCTCCTGAGCAGGGAGCCTGATGTGAGACTAGATACCAGGTCCCTGGGATCATGACCTGAGCTGAAGGCAGATGCTTAACTGACTGAGCCACCCAGGTGCCCATACACGTGTCTAATGTCTATCTCTCTGTGCAACCATGTACTTCACAATGGTACATATTATGTCATTTTGTATTAACACTTAACACATGACAGGTGCTTGGCCTGTATCTATCAAATGAGTAAATGCGTGATCTGCTTTAACAGAAGCCTATCTTTCTCATGCCTCCATCTTCTCACACAACCCATGACTTGATGGCACAAGAGCTTGGACTATTTCCTGCTCCCAGACACAGCTTCCACACCACTAATCTTCACAGTTAATGCTCCACTTCTCATTCCAAGTCCTTCTAGCTGTTTTTCTCTCTCTGTGATCCTTAGCACCACCTACTGCCCTACGTAACTCTGGTAGGAAGTCATCCTCCACTACCTTAACTTTCTTCTCTATGTTGCATCCTTCTCCTTCATGGTGATTTTTAACACATACACTGATGAAATTTGTGACACATTCTCTTCATGGTTCTTTGACTTCTTTGATTTCATTGACTTGTATCTTGATTACATGCCCATTTTGCAGGATGGTTCTATCTGGAATCTTTACTGCTCCACTTACAAGATCTCAACTTTGCTCATTTCTTTAAGTACATTTGCAATACCTAATTCCTTCTACCTACTAAAATGAAAACATACTCTTTTGATCACACTGTGATACTTAGTTGTTAGACACAACCTCCCCTCTCCTCAACCCTTCATGTTAAGTGAACAATAAAGATGTTGGCAAAATAATTAAGTAATAATTAAGGCATTAATTAGTTTTAAAAAAATCAGCAACCAAATTTAAGGATAATATTAGGAGAAGACAATAGAGACAGGAAAGAATTATGTGTCTACATTAGGAGTGATGGGTTGGGTAGTTGATATGTCTACAAATTGGTTTTTCCCTAAACTAAAATACTGGTGGGAAAATAAAACAACAGAAATAATTCACATTTAGAAAAATTGTCTCTTAATTGTTCAAAGTAAATGCCTGAGCATAGATTACTTTAGAGTTACTTATAGCAGTAACTCTTAAACTGTGATATCTGGCTGTGATGTGAAACTTGATGACTCTCTCATCATAATTATTTATTTAAACTGAACTCACAAAGGAATTCTAAGCTAGTTTAAGATTAACTCTACAAACAATTGTTGCAATGACTGTTTTTAAAACTGAAGACTACTGTCATCTGCTTCACTATGTAAGTCGTTCACTAAACAAACAAAAATCTGAGGTCATTGGTGAGAATGGTGTTCTTCTGTCTCCGCTTATTTTGTCCTTTGGGAAGCAGAATTACCCCAGATGAGAACTCCTATTCCAAAGTAATTTTAGAGCTGAGCTTTCAAATGTCTGCACACTCATTTTACAAAGGATTTTCCTCAAATCTCACTTGTCAGAGAGGTCTTCCCAACCACTTTATCTAGAAGATCTCTTAACACTTTGTATCTACTCACTTGCTTTACCTTTCTTCTCAGGACTCACTGCTAGATGACATTATGTCATGGTTGTATCTGATTACTTTGTCTTTTTTTTTTTTTAAGATTTTATTTATTTATTCATGAGATACACAGAGAGAGGCAAAAACATGGGTAGAGGGAGACACAGGCTCTCTATGAGGAGGCCAATGCAGGACTCAATCCCAGGACCCAGGGATCATGACCTGAGCTAAAGGCAAAGGTCAATCACGGAGGCACCCAGGCGCCCTACTTTCTGTCTTTCCACTAAAGACAAAGTTCTATAAGCACATGGGTTTTAGTTTGTTCATCTAGAATACCTCCAACGCCCACAGCAACATTGCCTGGCACCTAGAAGTCACTCAATAGGATTTGTTAAATAAGTAAATTGTTGGTCTTATTAGAGGGAACACCTAGAAGCTGATATGAGTGACATTACTAAAGCTCATTTATTCTGAAGACCTTATACCACATGGAAATGCATTTGGGGACATAACTGCTTCATTGACTCAATATGTACTTTGTTACAAAGGCAATTTTTTAAAAAAAGGAATTTGGGGGCAGCCCAGGTGGCTCAGCAGTTTAGCGCCGCCTTCGGCCCAAGGAGTGACCCTGGAGACCCGGGATCGAGTCCCACATCAGGCTCCCTGCATGGAGTCTGCTTCTCCCTCTGCCTGTGTCTCTGCCTCTCTGCCTCTCTCTCTCTCTCTGTCGCTCATGAATAAATATTTTTTTAAAAAAGGAATTAAAAAATATGTATTTATTAGAGACACAGAGACAGAGCTAGTGAGAGAGAGCATAAGCAGGGAGGAGAAGGAGAAACAGGCTCCCCCACTGAGCAGGGAGACCAATGTAGGGCTTGATCCCAGGACCCTGGGATCATGACCTGAGCGAAAGGCAGATGTTTAACTGACTGAGCCACCCAGGTACCTCTACAAAAAAGACCTTAAGGCAGCCGACATTTTATCTAATTTGAAACTAAACGAAAGCTAATGAGTTTTTCTAATTTCAAAATTGGAATTTTAATATACACCTGTATTGGAAAAAGCCATTGAATGGTTTACAAATATACCAGATTTGTCTTATTTGAGACAACCTGGCACTTGATACATTTGTCAGTCAATAGTGGTATCAGAAATGAAGCAGTAAGAACTTACAGAAAAGAGTTTTGATTTAAAAAGTTCCTGTATTTGTTGATGAATAACTTTAACACTTTGAAAAAACCTAAGACATTGAAAAGGTAAGATTGCTTTAAGGTATCTGTTTGAGATTAATAAAATTAAGTGAGTGAATATCCCCACCTGATGCATTGCATTTTAATGCAGAATAGGGACAAATATATCAATGCATATCTAGTCAGCAAAAATAAACTGATGAAATTTTTAACCAATTTAGCAGTCATTATCTATAGTATTATTATACTAGAACTTGATATCATTACCATTCATCTGAAACAAACTGAGAATAAGAGTTTTTTAACATAAAACCTTACCTTTAATTCCAGCTCTTTTTGCATTATCAATAGTTAAAAGTATTTCTACTGCATTTTGAGCATTATCTGATAACTTTTCTTCACTTTCAGGCCAAGGGATATCTACAAACACAAACAGCTTGTTAATCACTGTTCAAATAATACTCAGATAAATGCATCTATCTTAGTAGAAAAAGAATCACCTCTTTTCAGAATATTCTGGAATACTTGCTGTGATGTTTCATCATTGAAAGGAGGAATTCCTGTAAGAAACTCAAACAAGCAAACTCCAAGTGCCCACCAGTCGACCGCAGGACCTAGAATTTAAGAGGGAGTAGCTGAACTTGCAAGCATTTTGTATAAATATTTCACCAACTAAAATGTTAATACATGGATATTTGGGCACAGTCAAGGCATTCATTTCCTAAGGCATTCTTCTAGGTTCATAAGGTGCAAAAATCCAAATTACCTTCATTTTGGTAATATGGCAATTACTTTCCTTCTCTATTCTCCAAGAAGTTTAGATTAGCAATCAACACAGCTAGTCAAAGAAAAATGAAAGGTATCTTTCTTTTGTCACTAACAATAACCTCTGATATTCTGGACACTTACTTGTTCTAAGTCCTAAAACAGAACGAAGGAATGCATTTAATCTAAAGATTAGGGGCAGCCCCCGTGGCTCAGCGGTTTAGCACCGCCTTCAGCCCAGGGCCTGATCCTGGAGACCTGGGACTGAGTCCTGCGTCAGGCTCCCTGCATGGAGCCTGTTTCTCCCTCTGCCTGTGTCTCTGTCTCTCTCTCTCTCTCTCTCTCTCTCTGTGTCTATCATGAATAAATAAAATCTTAAAAAAAAAAATCTAAAGATTACTCTCTAAAATAGAGTACTAACAGAGTACTCAATTTCAAATAGGGGGAAACAAGAACATTGAGATGATTCTCTATTCCATTTACTTCATATGGGTATGAGATAAAGTAGCAATATTTATACTAATTGGAGGATACCCTGGTTAACAAGGAAAAGTCTTAGAATGTTTTAATGTATCCTCACTCCTTCTAAGAACATAGGGGGACAAATTAGTTTAACAAAAAATATTCACTGAAACCATAGCTTGAGGAAGTAATTTGGGAGTAAGTCTTAATAAATATGTAAAACCCCTTTCTAAATAAGATCTTTACTGGAAGCATCATCTATATACAAAGATGTTTTAAACAATTATTTTAAACATACATGACCTTATAATCTGTTTTATACTTTTGTTTAATTCTATGAAAAAGTATTTCCTAAGTAAAAGTTAATTTTAGTAAAAAAAAAAAAAGATTAACTTCAATATAAATTTAAAATAGAATTTTTTTTTAGGATTTTATTTATTTATTCATGATAAACACACAGAGAGAAAGAGGCGGGCAGAGACACAGGCAGAGGGAGAAGCAGGCTCCATGTAGGGAGCCCGACATGGAACTCGATCCCGGGACCCCAAGATCAAGCCCTGGGCCAAAGGCAGGCGTCAAACCGCTGAGCCACCCAGGGATCCCAAAATAGGAATTCTAGTCTAGTACTAAATGTGCTTGAAAATTATTCTTTAGGGATCCCTGGGTGGCACAGTGGTTTAGCGCCTGCCTTTGGCCCAGGGCGCGATCCTGGAGACCCGAGATCGAATCCCACATTGGGCTCCCGGTGCATGGAGCCTGCTTCTCCCTCTGCCTGTGTCTCTGCCTCTCTCTCTCTCTCTCTCTCTGTGACTATCATAAATAAACTAAAAAAAATTTAAAAAAAAGAAAATTATTCTTTAAAATCAACTTCACACAATTTATTATTGTGGTTAAGAAACTACCACCTTTCCATTTTCTTAAAAAAAATTTATTTATTTATTCACAAGAGATAGAGAGAGAGGCAGAGACACAGGCAGAGAGAGAAGCAGGCTACCCGCAGGGAGACCAGTGTGGGAGTTGATCCTGGGACTCCAGGATCACTCCCCAGGCAGATGCTCAACTGTTGAGCCACCCACGTGTCCCTACCAACCATTCCATTTTATTTTTTTATTTTTCATTATTTTTTTAAAATTTTATTTATTTATTCATGAGAGACACACAGAGAGAGAGGCAGAGACACAGGCAGAGGGAGAAGCAGGCACCATGCAGGGAGCCCGATGTGGGACTCGATCCCGGGTCCCCAGAATCACACCCTGAGCTAAAGGTGGCGCTAAACCACTGAGCCACCCAGGCTGCCCCCAAACATTCCATTTTAAAACAAGTAGGAAAGTGCTGTGGAATCTGCCATTAGGAAAATAATCACATGCATTTAGAGCGCCTCTTCATGGCAAGTCACAGAATGCTATCCTCCCTAAGGAACAGTCTATATAGACTTCTATTTCTAGAAGTAATGTAATACTAATGCATGTAATAATCACATACAAACCAGCTCAGTTAGTGGATCTTTTAAGTGGCATGGAGAAAGAATAGATAGTATAACCAATAATAACAAAAAATTAGGGGAGAAGTCAGGAAAAAGACATATATTTTTATTATTTTACTTAGGTTAGAAATTAGAACCCTTTTCCCAGCTCAGCCAAAATGTCCTCATGTCAAAAACTTACACGATTTCTCCATAGATATGTCACACATATCCATATATTTGAGTCAAAGTCTAATAAGATCACATATTATGATAAATTGTAGCAATTATAATACATACTATTAGAGAATAGAACACATTTCTTTTACACTATTGGTTTCTTTTTCCTTTTCCTTTTCCTTTTCCCTTTCCTTTCCTTCCTTTTCCTCTTTCTCTTTCTTTCTTTCTTTCTTTCTTTCTTTCTTTCTTTCTTTCTTTCTTTCTTTCTTTCTAAGATTTTATTTATTTATTCATGAGAGATACAGAGAGGGAGAAGCAGGCTCCACGCAGGAAGCCCCATGTGGGACTCAATCCCAGGACTCTGGGTCACCACCTAAGCAGAAGGCAGGTGCTCAAACACCGAGCCACCCAGGTATCCCTACATTATTGGTTTTCTAATTCAAAACTTACATGTGTAATTTGTACATTGATACTGTTATGCCTTTCTGTTTTCTAATAATAATGGAATTAAATGGGTATGAAAATTCAAGCCCTGTTGTAAGAGCTAATTTAAAAATATTTTATGAAGCCGGTTTCCTGGGTTGCAATAGAAAAGGCTATATCTCCACTCTCTGCCACCTTTAAAAGTTATTTTTAAAAATGCCATATGCCTACATTGTTTTCAGAGAAGAACATTTTCTCTGATGTCTTCCTGCTCAGAAGACAGAATATAGTTCATTTTGTATTTCCTAAGTGAGATGAAACAAAATTTTTTATACAATGTGATCTAGTTATACTTTGTTCAGTGTAATTTGCTTTAGCATATTACTTCATAGAAAAGCTCACTCACCCAGAGTCAGAAATCCTGCATGTAAGAAAAGAGTAATTAGGTAATATTGTATAAAAATCATGAGTTCATTCTCATATCATTCATTGAACTATATATGAATTATTATGCCAGATACAAGGGATGCAAAGATAAATAAGAAAGAGCTTTTCCCAAAGAGAAAACAACCTACTCTGGGAGAGACAAACATAATTTTGACACAATGTTAACAGCAATGAAACAAAAATATGCACAAGCAGCCATGGGAAACTCTGGCCAGAGTTCCTAAGTAATTGGCCTAGGGGGAAGACCAGGGAGGATTCAGAGAAGTCTTAGCTGTCCTCAGTATGATGTTTAGAAACAGAGAGGTCAATACAAGAAACAAAATTGGTAGACAGGCCTTGGGGTCTGGAAATTGGGGAAACAGTTATGTATAAAGCAGTGATTTTTTTTTTTTAATCATAAATTGCTTTGTACTGCAGGGCCTGGTTGACTCAGTCTGTTAGCATCCAACTTTTTTTTTTTTTTTAGCATCCAACTCTTGATCAGGGTCCTGAGTTCAAGCCCCACAGTGGGCTCCCAGTATGGAGCCTTCCAAAAAAAATTGTTTTGTATTGTTATTTTAAGAACTGTGTATCAAATATTTTATAGAAAATGAAAATCTTAAAATGTATCACTAAAGGGGGAGCCTGGGTGGCTTAGTTGGTTAAGCAGCTGCGTTCAGTTCAGGTCAAGATCTCCAGTCCTGGGATGGCAATGGCATTGAGCTCTCTGCTCTGCCGGGAGCCTGCTTCTCCCTCGCTCTACTGTTCCCCTTGCTTGTGCTCTCTCTCTCAAATAAATAAATAAAATCTTTTAAAAGTATATATCATGAGACAGTAAGGTAACTAGGTGTCCTATTAAAATAGTGGCAAAGATCCTAAAAAACAAACCTTTACATGTGACGCTTACTTTCATACTGTATCCTGAGTAGAGAAAATGTATATTATAGGAAACTAATTAGCAAATCTGTGACTTAGCAACTGTATAAAAGGGGCACTGTATAAAAATGAGTTAAGTGCCCAGAGGCACTTTTTATCCCTTTCTCTCAAGAATTTTCCCTTCCTACATTCTGAAACGAACGGTTTTGATTTCCTAGAGCTACTGTCACAAAGTGCCACAAACTGGATTCTTCAAAACAGGAATTTATTGTCTGATGGCTCTGGAAGCTGGAAGTCTGGAATCAAGGCATTGACAGGACCATGCTCCCTCTGAAACCTATAGGGAAACTACCTTGCCTTGCCAGCCTTCTGGTGGTTTGCCTGCAGTCCTTAGCTTGCAGGGGCTTCACTCCAACCATCCCTCTTCCTGTGATATCCTCCCTGGGTCTCCATGGTCGTGTGGCTGTGTTTTTATAAGGACACCAGTCATATTGGCTTAAGAGCCCACCCTGCTCCAGGGTGACCTCATCTTAACCTACCTACCTAATTATACCTGCAAGGACCATATTTCCGCGTGGCATATGCAAAAAATCTCAGGGTGAAAACTTCAACGTGTCTTTTCAGGGGGACAGAATTCAGTCTAATACCGTTCATTTCAGAATGTAGGAAGGGAAAATTCTTGAGAGAAAGGGATAAAAAGAGGCTAGGTAAAAATGTCACCCTTATCTTCCTATGCTGCAGCCTGAAGATAGCTCATTCCTGGCTTGACCCTGTGGAGAGGGAGGGAGAACGAGCTCTAAACAGGAATGTGCTGCTGCAGACTGAACAGGAGTTTGACTCAACTTTGTATTCCTGAGCCAAAGCTGAAACAGACCCGAGAAGAATTTTTGAACAAAAATAATAGAGCAGGTAGATGGTAGGGATTCTCTGGATCACTGAGAGTGAACAAGAAGGCAAAGAACAAATGGCTGCATGTCTTCTTTTACCATAAGAAATGCCATATTTATGAGAAAACAGTATCACATGATACTCATTTTCTTTTACTCCAGGCAATCCAAGTACCAAAGAAATTTAAAACCAGTTTACCTTAAAAGAAAATGTAGTGATTGATAATACTTCAAAAACTGAAGACATGTAAGTCTTACCATGGGCCCTGCCCAGTAACAGCTCAGGAGCAAGGTAGTCCGGGGTTCCAAGAATTCGCGCATCATCTACTGGGGCCGCCCCTCGCCTTACACTCTTTGGAGTTCGGTATGGAGTTTCTGATTTGACCTGATTTGGGGTCTGCCAATTTAAAAAGAGTTTCCAGTAAATCTCTTCATTCCTTCTACAGTGAACAGAAATACTAAAACAAAAGCAAAGCTAGGCAGCCAGGCATAAAAGACATACTCCAATCCTTGATAAATTTTGAAAATGGACTCATTACCAACGATGATTCCAAACAGTCCTAGTATCTGGTGAAATTATTTTTTTTAAGATTTTATTTATTTATTAGAGACAGAGATAGAGAGAGATAGAGAGAGAGAGATAGAGAGAGAGAGAGAGAGAGAGAGAGAGAGAGAGAAAGAGAGAAAGAAGCAGGCTCCATGCAGGGAGCCTGATGTGGGACTCGATCCTGGGTCCCCATGATCACACCCTGGGCCGAAGGCGGCGCTAAACTGCTAAGCCACCAGGGCTGCCCATCTGGTGAAATTAAATAGCTTAGATAAGACCAATTACTTCAATAAGATCTATATATGCATGCAAGAATGACGAAATCCATAAGAATTTGATAGCGTGGATTTTTTTAAAAAAGATTTGAGAGAGAGAGCACAAGCAGGGGGAGCGGCAGAGGGAGAAGCAGGTTCCCCACTGAGCAGGGAGCTGGATGTGGGACTGGATTCCAGAACCCTGGGATCATGACCTGACCCAAAGGCAGACACTTAACCAACTGAGCCACCCCAGCACCCTGATAGCATGGATTAATACAAACTTAAGAATGGTCACTGAAGGATGCTGTGGTTGAAAATGACTGAATTTTATGTGACTGAACACATAAGCTGAAGTAAATGTAAATAACCTCTTGTGCTAATCAGTATTTAAGATATCCTGTGTTCTCACAAGGACTCTGTGAGACCAGTGGGACAGGTGTCAGCACATTCTATGGAGAGACAAGAAATAGGCTCTGAGGAAAAGGAACTTCTAAGTCACTCAGTGAGTTCTGATTAGAAAACCCCAAGTCTTAATTGGGGTGACCCTAATTCAGTTTGCATTTTCTATTTTATGATGTCTCTCCAAAAAAAGAAAACAAATTAAAACTTTGGGATTATTAAGATTAAAAAAATGAAAACTTTGGATTTATTAAGATGAAGATTATTAGACAATAAAAACAGAAGACTTGAAATATATACTTTCCAACTATTTTCTTTGAAAAGAAGAGATAATGTAGGAAGGTCCTTGGAAGGGAGTAAGATAGACTGAACTTTAATATTGTAACTTGGAGTTGCTTTCATCAAGTGAAAATACGTATCTGTAAATAAGTAAACATGTGATTGAAAACATGTGAAAGTCTAGGGGCACCTGGGTGGCTCAGTCTGTTAAGTGTCTGCCTTTGGCTCAGGTCATGATCTTGGGGTCCTGCGATTAATCCCCACAGCGGGCTCCTGGTGCAGCAGGGAGTCTGCTTCTCCCTCTCCCTATGCCCCTTCCTTCCTCCCCGACTCATGAGCATGATCTCCCTCAGAAAAAAAAATCTTAAAAAAAAAAAAATAAATAAAATAAAATCTTAAAAAAAAAAAAAAGCAAAAAAAGAAAATATGTGAAAGTCCAGAGAGCAAATGCAGGAGGCTCTATAGTTAATAAAATTACCACCAGCTTTACCTTTCTGCATCAAAACCTCCAATAATCCATAGATTCCTAACCATCAAAACAGAACTTTATGATTAATCTCAGAAAGTCTAGGTGAGAGGCAAGTATCTGGCTTTCAGAGTTTCTTGTTATAAAATCTAGAGACAAAGTGTTAAAAAGTTATCACATACCTGATATGGCACATAGGATATTCCTTTTTGGCTAGGGGTTATAGCCATGGGATATGAACCACTATAAACACAAGAAATATCCATTGCATCTAAAGAGGTAACACTCATTTTGGATGGTTCTGAGTTATTGGACGCATTAATATGACTATTAAAACTTCGAAAAGCTACTGCATTTCTTTTAGATAAGGTTAATGTTTTTAACACATCAGAAGACGAAGCTAACATTTTTTGGCTACTGGCTTGGACAGCTGGATTCTCATCATCTTTTGGCAAGGGATTTTCTTGCCAGCTGGGTGATACAGCAAGTAGGTCTTCAATGTTTGATTCTTCAAAAGAAGATTCTCTGATGCTTTTATCTGGATCTAAGGACTGCCTTTCTAATGAACTTTCCATTATAGAAATTCCAGGAAAAGATGAATCAGAGTCCATACAGATACTTTTAGAAGCTCTCTCATCATCAGAACCCAGAAAGCTAGAACTTAAGAACTTCTTATTATTCTTGTTGCAATCTTCATCCAATTCACACATAAGGTTTTTTGCTATCATTGGGATAGGTGATTTTTCTGGGGTTTGTTGTTTATCAATGGAAGAATTGACCATGTTCTCCTTATTGGCACAGTCACTTTGTTGACTTTCACATACCGATAGCTTCAGGTCTTGGACTTCATTGGTTAAGCTTGTCCTTTGATTTATATAACCATTACTTTTTTCATTTCTAGACTTATGCTCTATACAATTTTTTTTATTCTGTATGATGTGCTGACAAGGACTAGAGTCAACTAACTCAGAATTTCTTTTAAAACCTCTTTTTCCACAGTATTCTTCAGTCCCATCACTGGGATCCACAACCCACTGATCCGATTGATGGAAACCACACCGGGTGGTGTCAGTGGCCACATTAACATTATTTATGTCCAGTTCTCTTGCTTCCCTAGAAACTTCTCCAGGGAAGCATTTTTTAGCCAGGTTTACACAAGAGCTTCCAGTCGCAGGAATGATACTGCTGTTATGAATAGGAGAAAGGGTTAATTCAAAATCCTTTTTATTGAAACCTTTTGTCTCAATGGCATCGGTAGATTTTGTACACGAAGGCTTTTCTATTATATTCCAACTCATCACTGTAGAGCCCAGTGCATCATCACTTTCCTAATAGGGAGAAAAAAACACTCTTTTAGTTGTATAAAACTGAGATTCTTGAATCTTTTAAACCTCTGTTGATTTCGGTGGAATAGATGACCTCATAAATTACTATGCTACCTATTCCCAGTTTCCACTGGAACAATAGAACAATGATATCACAGAATTAAAAAGCATAAACAATTAAAGTATGTTTTATTAGGTATTGAATGAAACAGCAGCCTAAAATTCAAATAAACTATTTTCTAATATGTACTTGCATAATTTAATATGTATTTGATATTCTGTAATACATATTTGATACGTAGTATTTACAGAGGACAAATTAATAGGCAACATTTTCAGGTAAAATTGAGGGTAAGGCTATATTATGTATATATTGGTTTGCAATAGCGATATAGATGATTCTGTTTTGAATTACAAAATGCACAGGACTTAAAAATATAGTTAATGGAAAATTACAGACAAAAATTTTGTTAAACAGATCACTTTGTACAAGTATAATAAAACCAAGCTGATAAAGGTGAAGCTAAACTAACCATAATTTATAATCAAAACCCAAAATAACAGAAGATAAAATCCACTGTCAACAAGATGAAATGATGATGCAAATGATAATAACAAAATACTTATACAATATGTTTTCTTGAACAGGAAAGAGGTGAACTAACAGTATTAGGAATGGAAACCTGTTTGTCCTGTAGTGTGTATTATCTATAGAGCAGTCTATAAGAGATGAAAAAAGATTGAGAAATCCTGCCTTGACTAAAAAATAATCTGACCTGACTTCTAGAATACAAATATCCAACAGTGAAGACCATCATATTACTGAGAATAATATTTACTGAATTTCTTAAGACTAGAGTCTAGGTTTCCCTTCAACATGATATAATTTGACGGAATATACAGGGAAATGAAGACTATCTTGACTGCCATTTACCTAGGTTTCATTTCCTTACAGAATTTACACAGAAAAGTATAAAGTTTCTCCGTCATTCATGTGACATGAAAATTGGCCTGGGTTCAGATAAATGTCCCTCTAACCTGGCAGTCCTTTTCCCATCTGGGACTGCTGTGGCACTCAGACTCCACACTGGACAGGAAGGTGTGGCTCTGACTGCTGGCACTTGATGTAGCCAGCCTTCTCCTGGACTGCAGTAGATTAGACGTCAGGCACTTCACAGGCATCCCAGGATCGGAGGTAACTGTTTCAAGACCTGGAGGGAACAGAAAACACTGAGGCTTATGTCACATCTTTTTGAGCTCCTCACTGAACCTGAATCTTTCCAGTTAATTAGGCAAGGTATTAATAAGTATGTATATCAGGACTCTGTCTGTGTAAACATTATTTAATCCACAGGACAGCTCAGGTATTTTAGACATACAACTACGGTTATGAACGTTTAGGAAAAAAAACAAAACAAAACAAAAACCAAAAATAACTCTTAACATTCACAAGTGAAAATCAGGACAAAAGAACTAAATTGTAATTAGAGGAACACCCATTACCCAATTTGAAACTCATTTTGATAAAGGAGTATTATTGATATGCTATATCCACATATGATATAAGATGGGAATGTCACTAAATTTACTCAGTTCAATTTGTGTTTAATTAAAACCATAGTTTTAGGGGTGCCTGGGTGGCACATCAGTTCAGCATCTGATTGTTGGTTTCCGCTCTGGTTGTAATCCCAGGGTCGTGACACTGAGCCTTGAATTTGGGTTCCATGCTTAGCACAGAGTCTTGATTGAGATGCTCTCTCTCTCTCCCTGCCCCTCCCACTTGTGTTCTCTCTCTCTCAAATTAAAAAAAAAAAATAGCTTTATTCTAATGTTGAAGTTTATGTGATTACAAGTGTGAAATTATCCACATCCATAAAGATTTTTGTTTTTTTTTTCCAATACTACTGTAAGATAAGTAACAGTGACTTGGCTAACAGCAAGCCAGTGCAATATGGTAGCATCACCTACATGATACATGTTGGTTTATTACATAAACTCTTGTTTCTGAACTTATGAGACAAAATAGGCAACTATGCTTTTACTAAAGATCATAGTTTGGGCATATACAGATTTTCCATATATAGATAAAGATCTGTATATCTTGTTTTTTCTTTCCCAAAGAGTTTAGGTAAAACACATTACTTTAGTCCCAAGTAAGTTTGTACAGTTTTTTGATTTAATGAACCTTGGAACTTTAAAATTAGAAGTATAGAGTTCCAATGGCCATATTTTTTTTAAAGTTTTTTTTTTTTAAGATTTTATTAATTTATTCATGGGAGACATACAAAGAGAGGCAGAGACACAGGCAGGAGGAGAAGCAGACTTGCTGCAGGAAGCCCAATGTGGGACTCTATCCCAAGGCCGTGGGATCATGACCTGAGCCAAAGGCAGACGCTCAACCAACCAAGCCACCCCGGCGGCCCCCAATGGCCATCTAAAACAACTTTATTTTTGGCACATAAACCCTCTCAGTGAAATTCCTGAAGCTCACTGGACACTGACCTTGATAGTTGACTAAACCGCTCAGCTTACCTTTCCCCACTAATGTTGACATTTCTGTCTACCCCAATGCCATGTGCATACTGTATACTTGCTAAAGAGTTCTTTTTGGATCACTGATATGATGAGACCATTTCTCTCTTTGGAACTTTTGATGATTCCCCTTGTTCTACAGCTTAAATTCTAGGTTCCCTGTAATGACACTTGATCCTTCCCCATCTATCTGCTAAATGTCCCTTCCCATTGCACATGCTTCTCATTCTGACATAACACAGTCAGTCCCCATTGTCTGAAGATGGGATACTTCCAAGTGTCCATGCCTTTGTTCATTCCTCTATCTGAAATGCTTTTTTTTTTTTAAGATTTTATTTATTTATTCATGACAGACAGAGAGAGAGGGAGAGACACAGGCAGAGGGAGAAGCAGGCTCTCCACAAGAAGAGCCCAATGTGGGACTCAATCCCAGACTCCGAGATCACACCCTAAGCCGAAGGCAGACACTAAACCGCTGAGCCACCCAGACATCCCTGAAATTCTCTTTTCTAATACATTTGGAGCTATTGCTGTGTCTTTACTGAGAACCATTACTGATTTTCTCAATTAGCATTTAACACTGTCTGTGTTGTATCACAGTATCCTTCTTATGATTTTAGAGGAGCTATTGTTAATCCTTTTCCACATGTAGTCAACACAGAATTACAAGTTCTTCTGAGGCAAGGACTGCTCTCATTCATCTTAATAGCCACATAGTGACCAGCAGGGTGCCTCGCCCTGATCTACTTCTGACTAGATGAAGAAAACAACTCAGGAAGATGCATGTACTTTCATTTAAGAATAAGGCTGTAGTAACATCTGCATATTCTGTATTTTAGTAGTTTTGTATTTATCAAAGCTATATACATTTTTCAGCCACTTAGTTTTCCATAGAAGTGATTTTGACAGAAGAAATAAGACTCAGTGACTGTGGAAGAAAGGGTCAATGGACAGAAAATTTTATTTGCAATCAGGACTTGGCTTACCCATTACTAGTGTGAAACTAAACGTTTTCAAACATTAGGTTTCTCATTTCTAAGTGAGATATCCTGGACATGTACAGATTTGAGGACCAAATTCAAAATGAGGTTAACGTTGATGAAAACATGTTAACTAATTGTTCTTCAAAGCGTCATTATTCACATTCTCAAGACAAAGAACATGACTGAAGAGAAATAAATCATCCACATTTCTGGGCACCTGGGTAGCTCAGTCAGTTAAGCGTCTGCCTTCAACTCAGGTCATGATCCTGAAATCCCAGGATCAAGTCCTATGTCTGGTTCCCTGCTCAGGAGGGAGTCTGGGTCTCCCTCTGCCCCTACCCTACTCATGCTTGCATACATTCTCTCTCTCTCAAATAAATAAATAAAATCTTTTTTAAGAAACCATCCACCCTTGCTGACTTATAAAAGGTGAAGTGCTATACAAATGTCCCATTCTCTTCCTCTACTACTTTTGTTTTTTATTGTATGCTAATAAAAAATTATATTTTTACTTCAGCTATTTTATTTCAAAATTTTTGGAAATAATTTTATAAAGACACAAAATATTATAGGTACTATATCTTCTCTATATAAGTCTTCCATAGACCCAGTACAGTGAAATTTATCCAATGATCATTCTAATACCAAGCTAATTGAAGCATATCTCATTAGCTAGATATTTTACTCTGTTGACTTACAGAGCTGCAACTGGCGGGGGAGCCTGGCTGGTTCAGTCAGTAGAGCATGTGACTCTTGATCTTAGGGTTGTAATTTCCAGCCCTATGTTGGGTGTAAAGACTACTTAAAATAAAAATTTTATTAAAAAAAAAAAAAAAGATCTGCAGCAATCTGTGTCAGAAATGGCATTTACGTTAGGAAATGTAGGAATGCCACAGACTGTTCAAGTATTGGCTTTCAAACCTACATTAGAAATTAAAAAATTCAAAAATATTTTGTTTCTCAAAAGACACACTTAATGGAATAAACTATATTTTCTTTTATACTCACATGAGTGTAGTAGTTTGCTAGAATAAGGAGTGGTATCCCTGTGATCTACAGACATGGGACAAATTAGTCCTTGAGAAAGCTGTGATGTTTCAAATACATGGGTTGAAAGAATATTTGCAGAGTCTTTGTTTTTTTCTGCAGCTGGTGTGTACTATGAAAGAAAAAAACAAATGCTATGATTTAACTCTACAAAAATACCACCTAAATACCAACCATTTAAGTAGATAATGTTAAAGTAACTCAACATCCTTGATATTTAAATTTACTTATTTATTTTTTGATATTTAAATTTATTTTAAACAAGTTTGAAAATTTTAAGTGGCAATCATGAAAGGGCATGTTATGTGAGCTTTTTCTAATCAAATACTTACAAATCTTAAAGAGCTGATGAGAGATAACACTTGTCCTGGGGTTCTTGAATAATCTTGTCTAGGTTTAGCCATTGACGGTGTTGTAAGGATATCCATCATATTGATATCTATGTATGGAAAGAAAAGTATATGAAATCCTTTAAAAACTTCAATGCCTTACTAGGCAATAATCACCTGTTCTAAACTTTATCTCCTTTTCCACATTATTAACATTATCTTTAACACTAGCTCGTGTAAGATGAACATATCCAGAGAAGCCACCACACCACAGAGTAAACATATACAACCAAGCTGACAGAGAAAGACAAATACTGTATGGCTCCTATTATATATAGAATCTTAAAAAACAAAACAAAACTAAGCTCACAGGTATAAAGAACAGATTGGTGGATGCCAGAAACAGGGGTGGGGGATAGGAGAAATGGATGAAAAGGGTCAAATAAATAAATATTTCCCTATTAAAAAAAAGCAAGTGATTGAAATTGTTAAACTTTCACAGAACAGTTTTGCTCTAAAATGAATAGAACACAATGTAATGACCCAAATTAGGGAGTAGTCACTAAACAAGAATATCACCCCACTGGCAACAAAATAATTCTTGGTAAATCAAATACTAGAAAAGGATGTGGTAAGAAATATTAAGAAAGGAATATTAGGAATATAAATTAAATTTCAATAGGTCAAGATAGAAATTTATGCAGAATTTTTAACAGTTTCAGGGCATAACGTTGTAAAATAATTCAATGTTCACTACATTATATGTGAGTTCTAAAGAACACAGTACTTTAGATACCAAAAATGGTAGGTGCCTGGCTGGTTCAGTCGGTAGAGCATGTGACTCCCTGATCTCAGGGTCATGAGTTAGAGCCCTACATTGGGTATATAGATCCCTTTGTCTGTATTTATTATCCTGTACTTTTCATCCCCATAATTTATTCATTTCATAACTAGAAGCCTGTGTCTTCCACCCATTTTTTACCCTTTTGTCCTTTCTCCCCAACATTTATCAGTTTGTTCTCTGTATTAATGGGTCTTGTCTCTGCTTTGTTTTTTTAGATTCCATATATAAGTGAAATCATAAGTACTTCTCTTTCTAACTTATTTCATTTAGCATAATCCTGTCTAGGTCCATCCATGTTGTCACAAATGGCAAGACCTCATTGTTCTTTTATGGCTGAGTACTATTCTATTGTGTGTGTGTACACCACATCTTCTTTTTCTTTTTTTCTTTTTTCTTTTTTTAGATTTTATTTATTTATTCATGAGAGACACAGAGAGAGAAGCAGAGACATAGGCAGAGGGAGAAGTGAGTTCCTCTCAGGGAGCCTGATGCGGGATTCGACCCTCAGACCTGGGATCAGGACCTGAGCTGAAGGCAGATGCTCAACCACTGAGACACCCAGGCATCCCTGCACTACATCTTCTTTATCCATTCATCTAATGATGGACACTTGGATTGCTTCCCTATCTTGGCTATTGGAAACACTGCTGCAATTAACATAAGGATGCACAATATCTTTTTGAATTAGTATTTTTGTTTTCTTTGGGTAAATATCTAGTGTACTGTATAGTAAGGAACATCCTTAGTGGCTTCTCATCTAGCCACCTGTACTCAAATATTATTATTACTGCTGTGAAGCATCTGAGTAGTTATGTGAAATGGGATTAATAAAAAATCATAAATACCTCACATCAGCTCAGGTCAGATTTTATCAAATTAAATGAAAATCCTTAGGTATTCAAAACTTTTTGAAATTTGTACTTGCAGTTTAAGATTGATAGATCTGTATTTCTTTTTGAAAAATTATAATCCCATGGTAAGCCCAATTTTGTGCTCTACTGTTCATTTACTTCTAAATGCTATCATTTTAATAGGTAACACAATAGGTTACCAAATTGATAAGCTCACAGGTATTCATGTTTCTATGATAAACATAAGTAGGGGCAGCCCTGGTGGCGCAGCGGTTTGGTGCCAGCCTGCAGCCTGGGGTGTGATCCTGGAGACCCGGGATCGAGTCCCACGTCGGGTCCCCAGCATGGAGCCTGCTTCTCCCTCTGCCTGTGTCTCTGCCTCTGTCTCTATGTCTATGAATAAATAAATAAAATGTTCAAAAAAAAATAAACATAAGTAATTTCTAGTTTCTCCCTATAAGAAACAAAGGTGCTACAAAGTTTTATTCATTCATTTTGTTCTCTTGAACAGTTTCCTTAGAATAAATTCCAAGATAGACTAACTAGGTCAAAAAGAATTAACTTTTTTGTTTCTTTTTTTTTAAATTTTTAATAAAGATTTTATTTATTTATTCATGAGACAAGAGAGACAGAGAGAGAAAGAGAGAGAGAGAGAGGCAGAGACACAGGCAGAGGGAGAAGCAGGCTCCATGCAGGGAGCCCGATGTGGGACTCGATCCCGGGACTCCCGGATCACACCCTGGGCCAAAGGCAGGCGCTAAACCTCTGAGCCACCCGGGCTGCCCAACTTTTTTGTTTCTTAAAACACATTGGTAGATATCTGTTGGAAAGCACTGTGCTAATAATCTATAGTGTTTCTAGAAAAACTAACTGTGCTTTTGCAGCCTCATTAACTTTAGATCTTCAGTTCTTTTTTTTTTTGCCTAGCTTAATAGTGTGATTCATTTGCTATTTTTTTTTTCATTTGCTATTTTTTAAATTAGCATTACTTTCATCACTAGTAGTGAAATTAACATACTTCCAAAACAAGTGTCTGAATTGTGTTCAGTTTGTCTTTTATCAAGGTCTTCGTGGTGATCTTGTCTGTGTGAATAAGTTCTGTAGGCATTATGGTTCATCATGTTATAGGTATTTTAGTCATTTTACCGATGTTTAATTGTTCAAATCAGTTTCAATAGAGACAAAAAGTCAGGAGAACAGAAATTCTGAGTTCCTCTTTGAAGATTCAAAGATTTTTGAGTGCCTTTGAGGATTTAGGAACAATTATTCCCATTCTCATCCTTATGTATTTAATTTTTAAAGGTTGTATTTATTTATTCATGAGAGACAAAAAAAGAGAGGCAGGAAAACACAGGCAGAGGGAGAAACATTCTCCCTGCAGGGAGCCCAATGTGGGACTTGGTCCCAGGACCCTGGGATCATGACCTGAGCTGAAGGCAAATCCTCAACCACTGAGCAACCCAGGCATCCCTCATATTTATTTTTAATACCATTATGCTTTTCTAGTCTTTCTTTGGAACAAATAATCATCAAATTTTAGCCACTATAAGCTAACAAAATAATGTAAGTTAATAGCATGTAGTTGTTGGGTTTTTTAAAAAGGTACTAACCTGCTATTTTCCTTACCTCTATTCAAAGTAATTTTGGAAAGCCCAAAATCTGTTAGTTTAATATGACCTTCATTTGAAATAAGCATATTGTCTGGTTTCAAATCCCTGCACAAAGAAAAGACAAATAGCATATAATTAAAAAAGATCTAGTGGTAATGTTAGAAATAGCAAGGAAATACCCAGAAAGTTGCAGAAGAATCAAACCCTATTTATTTTCTCTAAAATAAGACACTTATCACTGGCTCTGAAAGTGCAAAAAAAACACTCTCTGTTAATAATCTTCTGTATATCTGAACCTACAAGAAAGTGAACCGATTTAATACTAGATTATCTTTGGCATTACTTATTAGATAGCCTATTAAAACAAATAAACCTCAGGCCAAGTCAAAATCATATTTACCTCTTTCAAGGAGGGTAAGACTAAACTTTAAGAGAGAAGAGCCACTTAGAACATGACTTTAGTTGCAGAGTGAAACATTGTAAGTTAGAATTATAAAATACAGCACTTTTGTATGACAGTAGCAGAGTGGGAAAATTCTTCACAACAAAATGGTGTACCCATGCTCAAAGCAACATATTTAAAACACAGGGAGGGGAGGAGATGAAAGAAGAGTTGATGGATTTTCTATTTTTTTTTAATTTAGTGCTTTTATTAATTTTTTTAAAAGACATTATTGATGAGAGAGAGAGAAAGAGAGAACCCGAGCTGGGGGAGGGGCAGAGGGAGAAGCAGACTCTGTTGAGCAGGAAGCCCAATGTGGGGCTTGATCCCAGCACTCTGGGATCATGACCTGAGCTTAAGGCAGATGGTTAACCAACTAAGCCCTCATTAGAAGAAATTATATCTTCTAAACTCACACAAGTTACTCCCAAACTTTAGATAACCTGGATACATGGGCACATGGTTATGCAAATATTTCCAACTCAAATATCTAATACATAATTTGATTACTTGCATTTTTAAGGAATAGTTTGTAGAACTTTACCTGTGGATGATTCCATGTCTGTGAAGATAGTCCAGAGCCAAGGCTACTTCAGAAATATATTTCACGGCCATCTCTTCATCAAAGTAACCATATATATGTAGGAGAGACTTGACATCTCCACCAATAAGATATTCCATTACCTATCAAAAAGGAATATATATGTCACAAAATAAAAATAACATTATTACTTTAAAAACATTAGTTGAGTGTTACAGTTATACATTTTTAGCATGGTTCTGCAACAGACACATTTTCTTGATATCACTACATATTAATAACCAAGTTTGCTCATGTTGCCATATAGTTTTTTTTTTAAGATTTTATTTATTCATGAGAGATACAGAGAGAGAGAGAGAGGCAGAGACACAGGCAGAGTGAGAATCAGGCTCCATGCCGGGAGTGTGATGTAGGACTCGATCCCAGGAATCACCCTGAGCTGAAGGCAGATGCTTAACTGCTGAACCACCTAGGCGTCCTGCCATATAATTTTTTAAAGTGAAGTTAAACTGTTTAATCTGAACAAAAATTCAGACTTACAGAAAAAGTATAAGAATAGTCCCATATATTTTTCTTTTTTTTTCCATATATTTTTCATCTAGATTCAAACCACTGTGAGCATTTTGCCACATTTGCTTTTTTCCTCTCCACATGTAGGAATATAAAATAAATGTTAATAACATAATTATGTTACATAATAAACAAAAGACACAAATATTAACATAAATATCTTAAATTCATGTATTTTTATTCTGACTAAACAGTTTTAAAAATGTGGCAACATCAACAACTGACATTTACAGCTTTTAAGGTTTTGCTAAATAACTGGAGAATAAAGTTGAAGAGGTCATGACCTGTCACCGCCAAATTTTTCTTTTTTTTTTAATTTTTATTTATTTATTTATGATAGTCACACACACAGAGAGAGAGAGAGGCAGAGACACAGGCAGAGGGAGAAGCAGGCTCCATGCACCGGGAGCCCGACGTAGGATTCGATCCCGGGTCTCCAGGATCGCGCCCTGGGATCCCCCCACCAAATTTTTCAACATGTATCTTCTAACAAGGATTTTTTTTTAAAGATTTTATTTATTGGGATCCCTGGGTGGCGCAGCGATTTGGCGCCTGTCTTTGGCCCAGGGTGCGATCCTGGATACTTGGGATCGAGTCCCACGTCGGGCTCCCTGCATGGAGCCTGCTTCTCCCTCTGCCTATGTCTCTGCCCCCCCCCTCTCTGTGACTATCATAAATAAAAATTTAAAAAAAAGATTTTATTTATTCATGAGAAACACAGAGAGAGAGAAAGAGAGAGAGAGAGGCAGAGACAGGCAGAGGGAGAAGCAGGCTCCATGCAGGGAGCCCAATGTGGGACTCAGTCCCGGGTCTCCAGATCAGGCCCTGGGCTGAAGGCAGTGCTAAACCACTGAGCCACCCAGGCTGCCCTAACAAGGATATTTTTACATTACTAAAGAAAAATAAAATTTAAGGAATTTTACACTAATATAATAATATAATCTATAGTCCGTGTTCAAATTTCTCTGAGCATCTAAATAAATGTCCTTAACAGGGGATCCCTGGGTGGCTCAGGGGTTTGGCGCCTGCCTTTGGCCCAGGGCAGGATCCTGGAGTCCCAGGATCAAGTCCTGCATCGGGCTCCCTGCATGGAGCCTGCTTCTCCCTCTGCCCCTCTCTCTCTCTATCATGAATAAATAAATAAATAAATCTTTAAAAAAATAATAAATAAATGTCCTTAACAGCAATTTCCCTCACCCTCTTGCTCAAGCTAGGACCCCCATGGGATTTAGTTATCATGGTTGTTCAGGCTCCTTTAATCTAGGGCAGTTTTTTGCCTTTTTTTTGAGGGGGACAGTCTTTCCTGACATCTGATTATTTCCTCACTACTTAATTCAGGTTTGCGTTTTTGGCAGGAATTCTAAATAAGTAATGTTGACTTTTTCTTAGAGATTCCCACCAGATGAGACACCTAATGTCAGCATGTTCCATTACCGGTGATGTTGACTTTGATCACTTAGTTAAGGTGGTGATTTCCATATGTCTCCATTGAAGAAACACTTTTTTAATCCCTTGGTAATTAATAAGTAATGGGGGGAAATACTTTGAGAGTATGTAAATAAGCTACTTCCCAACAAATGTGCAAGCACTGATCTTAGCATCGTGTGACCAGAGATGATTCTTGTTTGAATCCACTATTGCTATGTGGTTGCAGAGCTCTACTATTCCTCTACATACAGTAGTATTATTCTATAAAACTCATATAGTTTTAAAGTATAAAACATTGCCTCGTAATAACTTCATAAAACTAAGTCCTTTCTTTCCTCTTTAGGTCAATAGTTTCCCTGCTAGTCAATGTTCACTGATGAGATCAATCATTAAAACATTTACTAAGCCCAAAATCTGTGCTACACACTGTGCTAGCTCTGGTAATTTAAGTATGAATAAAATATCTCTGCACTGAAAGACTTTATAATTCAGTAGAAGGCAAATAAATAATGTATTTGAGCTCATGAGAATGTTTATTTTCTTACATCCTCATCAACAATAATTATTGATCCTTTTTATCTGTCATTCTATGAAAAAATGGACATATTTATTTTCAGGAAGATTTAGGACTTTCAGGGAGATTTAGGGTCTTTACACTATTTTTGGTCTTTTTTTTAAAGATTCTACTTTTAAGGGGCCCTGGGGTGGCTGAGTACATGATCCCAGGGTCCTGGAATTGAGACCCCCCCCTTTCAGGCTCCCCACAAGGAGCCTGCCATTCCCTCTGCCTATGTCTCTGCCTCTCTCTGTGGGTCTCTCATAAATAAATAAAATTTTAAAAAATTCTATTTTTAAGTAATCTCTACACCCAATGTGGGCCTCGAACCCATAACCCCAAGATCAGGAGTCACATGCTCCACTGACTGAGCCAACCAGGTACCTCTGTTTTTGGTCTTGTATGTGTCTTCTCTGAATATTTTCTCCAAACTTGATATTTGACTACGTAAATGGTTATTTTGTGTCAAATGTTTAATTTTGTTCTTAATAAGACCTACACCAATTTATGATTATAAAAATATTCACATCAGTTTTCTTCTAGTACTTTTTTTTTTGAAAGATTTTATTTATTTGAGAGTACACATGAGCAAGCACGAGTGGGTGGGGAGGGGCAGAGAGAGAGGGATAAGCAGATTCCTTAGGGAGCTCCATTTGGGGCTCTATCCCAGGACTCTGGGATCATGACCTGAGCCAAAGGCAGACATTTAACCAACTGAGCCACCCAGGTACCCCTTTCTAGTACTTTCATGGATTCCCTTTTTTACGTAGAAATCTATGATACAAAAAGGGGAAACAAATGACCCTCGCACTATCTCTAGTTTCATAACCATGCAGAAAATTATTTCAAGTGACTTCAAAAACTAGAATTTTGGGATGCCTGGTTGGCTCAGCAGTTGAGCATCTGCCTTTGGCTCAGGGTGTGGTCCCGGCATCCTGGGATCAAGTCCCACATTGGGCTGCCTCGAGGAGCCCGCTTTTCCCTCTGCCTATATCTCTGCCTCTCTGTGTCTTTCATGAATAAATAAATAAAATCTTTAAAAAAAAAAAAAACAACAACTAGAATTTTGATAGAATATCCTAAGGACAAAAAGAGCTGCAAAAAACAACAACAACAACAACAAAAAACCTAAATTGAATCCGGTTGTTTTAGTGTCAAAAACAATATTGAAATTGTTATTTTCAAAATATTAGATATACATAATGATGTAACTTAAAGCAAATTAATAATTATGTAATTAGGAACCCAGATGGTCAGGGTAAAAGAATACATTTTTTTTCAGAATATTTTTTTTTTTAAAGATTTTATTTATTCATTCACAGAGACAGAGAGAGAGAGAGAGAGAGAGAGGCAGAGACACAGGCAGAGGGAGAAGCAGGCTCAATGCAGGGAGCCCAACGTGGGACTCGATCCCGGGTCTCCAGGATCACACCCTGGGCTGCAGGCGGCTAAACCCTGCCCTTTCCAGAATATTTTTATATGTTATATACTCTTCAAAGATGTTAAGTAAAAATTTGATAATTTCCCATTGAATTGGAAATTTCATCATGAACTTATGATACATTTTTCTCTTTCTATAAAAATGTTATAGGGGCGCCTGGCTGGCTCAGTCAGTTCAGTGTCCAACTCTTGATTTCAGCTCATGATCTCAGGGTTGTAAAATCGAGTCCCACCTTGGGCTCTGTGCTGGGTGTAGAGCCTGCTTAAGATTCTCTCTCTCCCTCTGCTCTGCTCCCCTCTAAAAAAAAAAATGTTATAAAATACATAAGTCACAGGGATAAAAAGTACAGGATAGGAAATACAGTCAATGATGTTGCAATAACTTTGGTGACAGATGGTAACTAGACTTATTGTGGGGATCATTTCATAATGTATAAAAATATGGAATCACTATGATTTACACCTGAAACTAATAGGATATTGTTTTTAATCCTTTAATTCTTCCTGGTGCTCTCTAATCCCTTTACTACATACTGCTTCATATGAACTGTGTGATTAAATAGTCCTCTACCTTCTCTGGAGTGGAATGTATCAATGTTTCCTTTTTTTTTTTTCCTGTAAGGTGCCAAACAGTAAATATTTTAGGCTTTGCAAGACATATGATCTGTGGGCAAATACCTCACTCTTGTAATGTAGCACAACAGATAGTAAGGAAACAAAAGGATACAATTGTGTTCCAATAAAATACTTGTTCAGTGAAGTTCAAATTTCATATAATTTTCATGTATAATGAAATATTCTTCCTTTGATTTTTTCAACATTTTAAAAATGCAAATGCTATTCTCAGCTTACAGGCTGTGCAGAAACAGTGGGCCATATGTGGTTCACCACAGGCTTAAAAGATGGAAAGTCAATTATTCCTAAAGTACTTGGTTTTCACCTTCCTACTGCTACTCTGTATTGTTTTCAACTCTTTCAGATAGAGAACCATCCTATAAAGTAGACCCACATCTCTGGCTTTCTTACAACCTAGGCGTCTCCTAAGGGGCTGTCTTTTTTTTTTGGGGGGGGGGCTGTCTTTAATATTGCCCTGAGGGTGAATTCCAATACAAATTTGTATCTTTGCTCCAAAACCCCTCCCCACAGCATTACCAGGTTTTCTCTCTCACAAAGAAGGTCACTACAACCAGGTACCATGCTAAGGTATTCATTTTGGAATGTTGTTTAGATTGGTAAAAGAACCCAAACCAACTCATCAATAGGGCATTTGTTTTTTCTTTTTTTTTATTTTTAATTTTTTTTAATTTTTTTAATTTTTTATTGGAGTTCAATTTGCCAACATAGAGTATAACACCCAGTGCTCATCCCATCAAGTGCCCCCCTCAGTGAAGGGTATTTGTTATAAAAATTATGGAATTCCTAAATAAATCCATGTGCTTCTGCATAGCCATTAAAAAGGATGAGGTCACCAGTAAGTGGGAAAAAAATATGTAGAACACCATTTATAATATGACAACATTTCTTGTACTTAAACTATGTAAAAACTTATTGATCTTGAATTAGTCCTAATGCAAAAATGGTGCCCACCACTCTCCTAGATAAACTCTGTACTCTCCAAAGTTTTCTGGCCCTCCCATCAAATATTTGAAACCACATAAACGTTAGTCTAAATCTGATAGTTACTCACAGATTTACTGAAAGACTAGAAATGGATTTAAACATCAGGTACCAAAAGAGTTTTAGATTTATCTCTAGTTTTATTTATTTTTATTTTTAATTTTTATTACTTTTTAAAGATTTTATTTATTTATTCCTGAGAGACAGAGAGAGGGGCAGAAAAACAGGCAGAGGGAGAAGCGGGCTCCCCATCGGAGCTTGATGTGGGACTCGATCCCAGAACCCCAAGAGCATGATCTGAGCCAAAGGCAGATGCTCTATCACTGAGCCACCCAGGTGCCCCGTCTCTGTATTTATAATCTATCCTGAATTTTCAGGTGTACAGTTTGAAGTTGGATATAATGTTCTGTTCAGTTTCGAGTTTTTAATATAGCAAAAAGTTGAAGTGTCACACAATAATGTTCCACATACTTACAAGAGAGCTTTAGCATATTGAGGATAAAGGAATTCCACTCAGATCAGATTATGAAAGGAATGAGCATTCTGTTGGTAAACTACTGATCTGGATGGAGTCTAAAATCTACATCCTATTTGCAAATTGAACTCCAATAAAAAAATAAAAAATAAAATAAAATAAAATCTACATCCTAAAATCCATTCATTCATAGAAAACCATTTATGTTCATGCTGAATAGAAGCCATTGGAGATACCAAATATTTAATTCACAGACCATTTCAGAAGTTAGGATCTCTAGAATTTGCAGTCAAAATATCCTCACCAATTCCTGTTCCCTCAAATTCTTCATTAGAAATGAAAAGCGAGCAACCCTTGGGACGCCCTCTACCTATGTCTCTGCCTCTCTGTGTGTCTCTCACGAATAAATAAAATCTTAAAAAAAAAAAAAAAAAAAGAAAGAAAGAAAAAAGAAAAGCAAGCAACCCTCAAAGTCCATGCACCCAAAATCCATCACTTCCCAGTATCTTTCCTTACTATACACCAAACTTTATATAGTATTCCTTTACTTACCAATGTTTTTAGTACTATGTGCCAGATACTGTTTAATATGTTTTATATTAACTGATTAAAATTTCATAACAACCTCTGAGGTATTATTATTATTTCCATTTTGCAGATGAGGAGACTGAGGTGGGTAGTTAATCTTATGTATCAATTTGACTAAGCCATGGTACTGAGATTTAGTGAAACATGAACCTCAATGTTGCTGTGAAGTTGTGTTTCAGATGAGATTAACATTTAGGTAGACTTTGAGTAGAGCTGATAACCCTCCATAACCTGGGCAGACCCCAACCAGCCAGCTGAAAGCATTAAAAGAAAAAAGATCAAGGTGTTGTCCTTCATACTCCCCACCCCCAACTCACCCCAAAAAAGAAGGAATTCAGCCTCTACACTGCTTTTGACCTGAGTTACAACATTAACTCTTCCCTGAGTCTGCAGTCTGCTGGCTTACCCTGCAGATTTCACACTTGCCAGCCCTGACCATCACATGGAACAATTCCTTCAATCTCCACCCTCTACACACACACACACACACACACACACACACACTCTCTCTCTCTTAGTTCTTTTTCTCTGGAGAACCCTGACTCATACAACAGGGAAGGGTACTTGGCCAAAGTTATAAAGCTAATAAGTGGAAAAGTTGGAATTCAAACCCAAGTACTCTAACCCGGAGACTGTATTCTTTTTCTTTTTTTAAGATTTTATTTATTTATCTGGCAGAGAAAGAGCATGAACAAGCAGGGGGAGCGGCAGGCAGAGGGAAAGGGAAAAGCAGGCTTGATGCAGGACTCAATCCCAGGACCCTGGGATCATGACCTGAGCTGCAGGCAGATGCTTAACTGACTGAGCTACTCAGGCGCCTTTATACACACACACATATTTTTAAAGATTTATTTATTTTTTTAATTTATTTTTATTTATTTATGATAGACATAGAGAGAGAGAGAGAGACAGAGAGAGAGGCAGAGACACAGGCAGAGGGAGAAGCAGGCTCCATGCCAGGAGCCCGACATAGGACTTGATCCCGGGACTCCAGGATTGCACTCTGGGCCAAAGGCAGCGAAACCGCTGAGCCACCCAGGGATCCCCTTAAAGATTTATTTTAAAATAATCTCTATAGGGAACCCTGGGTAGCACAGCGGTTTCGCGCCTGCCTTTGGCCCAGAGCGCGATCCTGGAGACCCGGGATCGAGTCCCACGTCGGGCTCCTGGTGCATGGAGCCTGCTTCTCCCTCTGCCTATGTCTCTGCCCACCCCCCCCCCCCCCGTGTGACTATCATAAATAAATAAAAAAATTAAAAAAAAACAACAATATATTAAAATAATCTCTACACCCAATATGGAGCTTGAATTCAGAACCCTGAGATCATACTGCCGGCTAAGCCAGCCAGCCCCCCACTCGCCTTGTCAACTTGAGCCACTGAATTCAGTGACTGCTAAATAGAAGAAAAAAACGTAAAATCATTTACTTACCAAGTAGACATTGTTTGCTGACTGTAGTGAATAGTACAAATGGACAATGAAAGGACTTTTGCTTAGTGCTAGTGCATCCCTCTCAGCTTGTACCTGATGAGTCATATTTTTGTTGATCATATCTGCTTTTTTGACAACCTATAGTAGACAACATAACAATACATTCATTTTATTTTTTATTACAAAGTGTTCTCAGGTTTCAGAGTTGCCTTCGTGAAAACCACAAGAGAGGAAAACATAGATACCATTATTATTACCATCAAGAAACTGTCAGAAAAAAAAAAAGAGGGATCCCTGGGTGGCGCAGCGGTTTGGCGCCTGCCTTTGGCCCAGGGCGCGATCCTGGAGACCGGAGACCAGAGACCGGAGATCGAATCCCACGTCGGGCTCCCGGTGCATGGAGCCTGCTTCTCCCTCTGCCTATGTCTCTGCCTTGTCTCTGCCTCTCTCTCTCTCTGTATGACTATCATAAATAAATAATTTAAAAAAAAAGAAAAAAAAAGAAATTGTCAGAAAAACAGCTAATATGGTGAAACAAAACAAAACTAAACTTTTTTCAAGAGAACTGCTTATTTTGGAACCCAGTGGCAAAAGAATCACATCCCTTTTTTTTTTTTAGATTTTGTTTATCTATTCATAGAGACACAGAGAGAGAGAGAGAGAGAGAGAGAGAGAGGCAGAGACACAGGCAGATTGAGAAGCAGACTCCATGCAGGAAGCCTGACATGGGACTGGATCCCGGGTCTCCAGAATCACACCCCAGGCTGCAGGTGGCGCTAAACCGCTGTGCTACCGGGCTGCCCTCACATCCCTTTTGAGAAGGAAAAAGAAGTAAACAAATGCTCCTCTAGTGCCCTACATATTACTAGAAAAAAAGGGACACCTGGGTGGCTCAACGGTTGAGCATCTGCCTTTGGCTCAGGGCATGATCCTACAGTCCTGGGATCAGGTTCCACATCGGGCTCCCTGCATGGAGCCTGCTTCTCCCTCTGCCTGTCTCTGCCTGTCTCTGTGTCTCTCATGAATAAATAAAATCTTAAAAAAAAATCCCATTATTTATTTTTAAAATTTTTATTTATTTATTCATGAGAGACAGAGAGAGAGAGAGAGAGAGAGAGAGAGAGAGAGGCAGAGACACAGGCAGAGGGAGAAGGAGGCTCCATGCAGGGAGCCTGATGTGGGACTCAATCCTGGGACTCCGGGATCATGCCCTGGGCTGAAGGTAGATGCTAAGCTTCTGAGCCATCCAGGGATCCCTCATTATTTTTTTTAAAATATTTATTTATTTATTTATTCATGAGAGACACAGAGAAAAAGAGAGGCAGAGACACAGGCAGAGGGAGAAGCAGGCTCCCCACAGGCAGCCCGATGCGGGACTGATCCAGGATCCCAGGATCACACCCTGAGCCAAAGGCAGAGGCTCAACCACAGAGCCACCCAGGCACCCCTCCATTCATTATTCTTATAACAAAGTTAAAAGATAGTAATGATCCTAATAAGCCCCCAGGTAATCAGGAATCTAGGCACAGATAATTAGTGGCTAATAATTTTTTTAAACTTCTATTCTTTGATGGATGAGAACTGAATCAGGAGGAAGAATAATATGGGAAGTTTGTTTGCCTAGAAAAAAAGAATCTTAAGAGAACTACTGAAAGTTAAGTCTCAAATACTGTCTTTCAGAAAATAGCAAATTACCCTTTTCAAGTTTCAAGGTAATTGGCACAAAAGCAAAACTATAATATCCACACTGAAATTAGAGCACTAAACTGAACAGTCAGTAACATTGAGATCACTTGTCATGATGATTAAAAGGCATATTTTTTCCAGAGACTCATTAGAATATTTGATAAAATCATTAGTACACTATGAATTCCAGCCTTATATCCTTTCCATAAGAAAAATTAGAGAAATTAACAAAGCCAGCCTCTAACATGATTTCACCTATGATTCCACTATATTGAAAGCTCTGTGAAGGCATGTTTGTTTTGTTCACCACTGGACCCTAGACTCTGTACACAAAAGGGATACTCAACAAATACTCATTGAAAAAAATCAATTGGTGTCTTTATTTCAACAACTGATAATGACTGATTAGGAAGTACAGTAGAAGGAAATGCAAAAAATTGATGGAACATATGAAGCGAGGAAGATTAATTTCAATGAGGTGGGTCTGAAAGGTCAGGGAAAGTTTGAAGAGGAGCCAAGATGAATCCTTTTTTTTTTTTTTTAAGATTTTATTTATTTATTCATGACAAACACACAGAGATAGAGACATAGGCAGCAGGAGAAGCAAGCTCCCAATAGGGAGCCTCATGTGGAACTTAATCCCAGGACCCCAGGATCATGTCCTGAGCCAAGCGAAGGCGCTCAATCACTGAGCCACCCAGGCGTCCCTCAAAGATGAATCTTTTTTATTTATTTATTTATTTATTTATTTATTTATTTATTTACTTATTTATGATAGAGAGAGAGAGAGAGAGAGAGAGAGAGAGAGGCAGAGACACAGGCAGAGGGAGAAGCAGGCTCCATGCACTGGGAGCCTGATGTGGTTTTCGATCCCGCGTCTCCAGGATCGTGCCCTGGGCCAAAGGCAGGCGCGAAACCGCTGAGCCACCCAGGGATCCCAAAGATGAATCTTAATATGCAAATAACACAGGTGGAGAAGAGCAGAGAATGGTGGAAGAGAAGCTCTTAAAGAGGAGCCAGCGTAAACACAAGCTCAGAGGCAAGATAATACACAGTATTCAGGGACTAGCCAATTGTCTGGGGTGGCTGAAACAAAGGATTTGTGGAAGTTATAGTAGAAGTCAAGTATCATTATTTCATTATTATTATTATGATTGCTTTTCTAAGGAGTTTGGACTTTAGCTTGCATGCCACAGCCTAAGGAGCAGATGAAAAAATTAGTGATCCTAGTTAGGAGCCTATTCCAATAGACGAGGTATGGAAAGGAAGGTGTGATGAGTCTCAAAAACAGATAACAAACAAACTCCACCAAACCCAAAAACAGATGCAAAAGACTATATATTGTATGATCCCATTTACATGGAATGTAGAGAAAAGGCGAACCTATAGAAAGTAGATTGCTGGTTACCTGGGACTAGGGGAAAGTGCTGCAGAAAGGCAGGAGGTGTTTTTAGGGTGATGGGTATGTTCTAAAATTGGATTGTGGTGATATCTACCCAATCTTTACTAAAGACTGACGTGTACTTTTAAAAAGGAAGGGAGAGAGGGAGGGAGGGAGGAAGAGAAAAGCAAAAGAAAGAGAAAAGTGAAGCCCTTTATTTGGGTAGACTTGGGAATGGAATAGAAGGGATTAAAAAAAGGAATATGAGACAGAATTGACAGGACTAGTTGAGACCTTGGTTATACAGATGAAATAGCGGAAAGTTAAAATGACTCAAGTTTCCAGCCTGAATGACAGCGATGAAAGTGATTTTATTAAATGGCGAGAAGGAAGATTCAGTGTTTAAGACGGTAGGTGGAGAGCAATGATTGTTCTTCAAGATATAGGGTAGCTATTCACATACCAATGTCCAATAGGAAGTTGGAACTACATCAGCAGTGAGACTGCTGGTTTCTTTCCCTTTCTATGCTCACTCAGTGCTGAAATAAGAGTCGTCTGAAAGTCCGGGAATGGGTGAGGACCAAGAGCGGCCAGAAGAGCTTCAAATGCTTTTGTAAAGCTATATACTGCTGCAAGGATAAAGGAGTAACATGTTCTATCTAACATGTTTTAGTTAGTCTTAAATTGTTTCAAATTTAATGTTTCCAACTCAATCCCGGTAAAGGTCAAGGTGGTAAAAAGGACTCAGAAGTCCTGGTGTCTCCTAAGCAGAGGCGGTGTGAAAAGAAGGGCGGGGCAGAGGCGAGACACCCAGCCTCCTGGCGCTCACGTCACTCCAAGGAAGAAGTCACCGCACAGGGTTATAGGACTCCTAGAGCCCTGGGGCCTGCCCAATTCAGGAGGCAGGAAGGAGGCCCGAAGATCGGAACTCTATCCCTCCTCTTACTCCCCAACTCCTTACCTTCACAGCATACAACTTGCCGCCTTTCTGCCCGAGATACACCTTCCCAAAAGCGCCACGGCTAATGGGTTTTACTATGGTGAATTCCTCAATGGAGGGAGGTCTTGGCACCGGGATCCTGTTCGCGCACTCCGCTGTGACCGTGTCTCCGCCACTCTCCGTCTCGCTCCCCGCAGTGGCCTCCATCGTGAGCCAGCCCAGACGGAGGCCTGCAGCATCAGCTACCACCCGCCTCCAGCCACAGCTCCCGCCAACTGGGTTCAAAGTAAGAAGACCCCGCCCACGCAGCCCGTCGACCGTGACGTCACCGCGTTGCCGCGGACCCCGCCCCTCCGATCGCCTCCTGTTGGTAGGCGCGGAAGCACCCAATGGCGGTGCGGGCGGGGACTCTGGGAAATCCTCCAACCAACCACAGACTCTTCGAGGAGGGCGACCGCGACCCGATTACTTCATTTGTAATAATGGCGGGGGGGTGGGGGGTGGGGGGCCCCAGGCAGTCTTTAGCCTGCAGGGAAAAGGGGCTACTTGGACTTGAAACTCAATCGCAGCGTTGAGGTTTCTCCAGATCTTCAATCGAGGTTGATGGGACCCTGCCCTCATCTCGCTTTTGCTTTGTTTTGTTGTTTTTCTACTCCTTCGCGACCTCGCACCCTCGCGAGAAACGTAAGCCAGTTCGGTCTGGCCAGTGGAAATCACAGAATGTGGAAAAACTGGATACGCCGGAAGCCCGTGGCTGGCCCCGTCATCTGACATAGTAACAGGATGTAACTTGCCTGACTGAAGCAGATTAGGACCAACAGGAAGAATTTTCCATTTATTGTATGGAAGATAAAGAGCACCACATTGTAGCCAAAGATACATGATAGTGCAGTGCCTCATAGTACCTTTATGACAGTTCCTCAAGGGCGAATCGGAAAAGGAGTATATAATATATATCGGAAGATTTAAGAAGTTAGATGTTCAAAGATTTAACAGAATCTATGCCGTCCCTGCTTAAAAAAATCCGGCCAGAGAGCTTAGGGGACGGGTACTTGTACAGCTCAACGAGAACATCAAGCAGTTTGGGGGCCCCGGCACCTCAGCGGCGATTGTACGTGCGCCAGTCGGTGAAAAGCTGGCGGGCGGACGCATGCCCCCTGGTGGTGCGGCCCACCTGCCCCGGAAGTAGTGTTGCGTTGGAGCCTTGCCTTCCGGGCAGATTGTCTGTCGTTGCGGCAGCTGTAAGAAGGGGAGGCCATTTTCGGGAGGCCATTTTCTGTTAGTAGGAAGAGTAAGGGCTAGAGGAGAGGGGGAGACAAGGGCTCAGCACCTCCCCGCCGAGCCGTGGACAGAGGGGCGCTTTTGGCAGGCGGGTGAGGTCGCTGAGGGCCCGGAGGAGATGTTTTCCCTGTCGAGTACGGTGCAGCCCCAGGTGAGTTTGGCATCCGGTCCTTTTTTTTTTCCCCCTTCTCTCCTGACCGCGGCTGTTTGCCGTTTGCGTTTCTTAGAAGCTCTTTCTACGTTTGGGATCCTCGGAGGGAAGCGATCAACCCAGAGCGAGTCCTAGGATTGAGAAGGGCTCAGCGGCCACACTTAGAGTAAAAGGCGGACGGTGGAGCAGAGACATGTTATGATGGAGACCTTGGTTTATCGAGGTGATAGCGTGGAATTTTTACTGGAGAATCCATCTGGGGTGGGGGTGCAGAGTGAGGATGGAAACGCCTTTGCCTCGTGTAAACGGAGCGAATAATGTTTTCTTCCCGTCTTATCACTCCTCCAGAGATTTTACTATAACGACCCCGATACCCAGCTCTTTCCCTTTTAAATGGAATTTAACTCAAACATATTGTGATAATTTGGATACTACGAATTCATCCTTTTGTTCTTTTTTTCCGGCCAAAAAAGACTAATAAACGGATATATTTTTAAGTTACTGACTGCTTGCGTTGCTATTTTTATTCAGTCTCTTTCCCATGTTTTCATAAAGCAAAGGATAAGGCAGAAAAAAAAATCATTCCCAGGGTTTTTACTTGTCCTCTTTCAGGAGTAATCACTTGTGACAGTGTTTCGTCCTTGGTTCATTTAAAAATCTTTTTGGTGGCAACATTTTGATACCTCTTTTTTTTTTTTTTTGGAAGTTTCTCAGTTTTGCAAATAGTTTTTGAACACATTCAGATTTCAAAATAATTTTTAACAGTTCTTTGTTTCAGCATGTAATTTCATTCCTTTGTGTAACCCCCACTCTTTGGGTGTTTTGTTTTGTCTTGTTGCTAGTATTGGCTGAGTAATGGAAAATGAAATGATTATTGGACATCAGTAATGTGCTTGCCAGGTGGACAAAACAAATGTGGAATCTTGATGGATGTGAAGAAAAATTGAATAGAAGTTAGCCAGGTGAAGAGTGAAAGGAAGTGAACAGGTATCCCAGGGATATGGAGGGATAATCTGGAGGTCCTGAGATAAGGAAGGGCTTAGCTGATTGGAGGAACAAAAATAAGGCCAGTTTGGCTAGAATGTAGTGATGAAAATGTGTGATGACAGAAATGAGGTTGGGGAGAAGCCTTGAGGCAGATGACACAAAATTATTATAAGGTCTTTTGAATTTTAAGTGTATTGGGAACCATTGGATGTTTTTAAGCACAGAATGCCATGATCAGATTTACATTGTCAGTAGACTTACTCTGGCTTCTGTGGAGATTGTAGAAGGGCAAGAGTTTTCACTTGCCCTTAAGTTTTCACTTAATGATGCTATTGCAGTAATCCAGGAGGAGATAATGCACCACTACAGTGGAGGCAGTGGTTGTGGAAAGAAGGGGATGAGTTAGGTTTTTTTGTTTGCTTTGTTTTGTACAAAGAATAGAATTTAATGAGGGTTTGGATATGAGGGATGATGGAAAGAAATGTTTCTGGTTTGATAATCTCAATGCATGAAAATACTATTTACTAAGATGACAGTATCCACGTAACCAAAGTCTTGGAGTCAGGGTTTGCTAATACAACCCAAGGGAGTGTCGAAAACAAAGAACTTTATTACTTCTTACAAGTAAGGAGACAGATGACTCTTAAAGCACTGTGTGTGGGGGGGTTAGTGTATGGAGCTTTTATTTAGTGTATTAGGAGGTTGGGAGGGAGCTCATAAAGGCACTTCATTCAATTACTCATGCCTAGTATTTCAGCATGCTAGTGTGTTCATTGTATGTTAAAAAAAAATGGTGGAAAACTCTGCCTCTAGGAGATCTTGGTATCATAATGAGCTAAAGGTAACTGCAGGACTGCTCAGAGGGACTTCTGTGCAGTTCCTAAGGGCCAGTCCAGCTCATACTGACTCACATAAGGGGCTGTCAGGTGAGACACACCTACCATGGGCCTCTGAGGTGAAGCACCATGTCTCCTTGGTTGGAACTGTTGGTTCTACAAAACAAAACATATTCCTTCTCTGCTTTTGTCCCTTCCCTTCCACTCTTTTTGTTGATAGCTTTCTGCCCTCTTTCTTGAGAAACTTCCTATTGCATGCTCACTTACACCTGGAGAATACACCTACCAGTTATTTTAAAAGAAGTCTAATCTGGCCTGTTGAATACAGAAGTAAGCCTTTTAAAACTGAAGTTCAAGAAGTTTATATTAAGACTCAATTTTAGTAGAATTTATCATCAGCTGGATGGAGGGTTAGTGGGACGTGATGTTGGTAGAGATGTTGAAGGTATTTTGTGTGCTGTAGGTAGGCTTAACTGGGCTCATATAGGACCCTTATGCTTGGAAAGATGATAAGCATTTGTAATTCCTGATTGCTTAGTTGATTGAATGGAATCATTTGAATTTAAACTGTGAAGTTAGGAAAGATACCAAAGGCAAACTTTTTCATTGAGGAGAGATCAAACCATCTTTTAGTAATTTGAATCCTTTTTTGGATGAGAAGAGATATAACTAATTGAAAGAAAGCTTTTCAGAGAAATAGGCAGAAAATATGTATCTTAAAATAAGTTGGTTCCTGGGTTGCTCAGTCAGTTAAGCATCTGTCTTTGGGTTGGGTCTAGGGCCCTGAGGTCAAGCTCTGCATCAGGCTCCCTGTTCAGTGGGGGAGGCTTCTCCCTTTCCCTCTGCCTGCTTGTGTGCTCTCTCTGTCAAATAAATAAATAAAATCTTTTTTTTTTAATAAATAAAATCTTAAAAGATTTTATTTTGTTTTAAAAAAAACTGTAGTTTTTTTAGTTTTAAAAAAACTTTAAAACTGTAGTTTTTAAAAAAACTTATTCTTTCTCACCCTAAAAAATAATACATGCTTATTGCCAAAAAATCCAAAAAGAAAAATACGAATAAGAAAATAAAAATCCTCCATAATATCATTGCTCAGACATCATATTGTAGAATATATTCCTCATACATTTTACCTCTCCACAAATATGTGTATGCATACTTTTAAAAAAAGATGTAGTTTTACATTAGTTTAACAATTTTTTCATTTTATAACAATGAATTTATTTCTGTATCGGTAACTATGGGATGAAAAGTCTAACTGGGGGCAGCCCCAATGGCTCAGCAGTTTAGCGCCACCTTCAGCCCAGGGTATGATCCTGCAGACCTGGGATAGAGTCCCACGTCCGGCTCCCTGCATGGAGCCTGCTTCTCCCTCTGCCTGTGCCTCTGCCTCTCTCTCTCTCTCTCTCTCTCTCTCTCTCTCTGTCTCTCATGAATAAATAAATAAAATCTTTAAAAAAAAAGTCTAACTGGAATCTAGAGTCAGATGATCTTGGTTAGAATCTTGTTCATACACTTAACTTGCAGAGTGTGACTTTGAACATGCCACTGAACCTATCTAAATTCTTGTTGTCTTCATCAATTAAATAGGAAGTAAATAATATTGTTCATGCCTGTTAAAAGTGTTAAATGAGATAATGTAAAATGCGCATAATACAAAACCTAGCAGACAGGCATGCCTTGAAGATACTGTGGGTTTGGTTCAAGACTACTACAGTAAAGCAAGTATTACAGTAGCACTAATCAAATGAATTTTTAGATATCCCAGTGCATGTAAAAGTTATGTTTGCACTATACTATAGTCCCTTAGGTGTATAATATATGTCTAAAAATGTAATACTCTAATTAAAAAATACTTTATTGTATTGCTGAAAGATGCTATCATCTGTGTGCGTGTTTTTTTAAAACGTATTTATTTTTAGAGAGAGTACACATGCACGCAGCAGAGGGAAGGGCAGAGGGAGAAGGAAAGGGAGAGAATCTCAAGCAGACGCCTTGCTGAGTGCAGAGC